GGGTAGCAGAAGCACGCAAACCAAGGCTATCTGGCATTGGCCCCGGGGGATAGGCCGATGGCGAAGGAACCAACGTACGCTGGACAGTGGCAGAGCATGTTGGTTGGCTTCAGGAGTGTTGGCCGGGTGAGAGAACAACCATGCAAGAATAGCGTGATACGCCCAGGATCCGAGCTCGCTGCGACGTTCGCGCGGGGGAGGTACTATTATCCGCCAGTCAATGCTTGATGTTGGTGATTTGCAGCCAAGGGGTGATCCTAGTTGATGCGACGTATTCTGCCACTGAAATCCAAAGTCTGAAACACGATGTGACATGACTGTAATCGTTGCATACATGTACCTAATACCTACCCTAACAATTTATTTCTGCCGTTGTAATTCTATATTCTATTCTATTTGCGCCTCAGGCACCAACTACGTCAAAGACTCCGCCAATATCTCTGCAGAGAAGGCGCACTTGCTCCGAACCCACGAGCCGTACCTATGAAACAAAAATGGAAACGGAAGACATGCCAATGCCAAGAAGGCAGGGACCGACGATGCCCAGTGAATCCCGAGGCCAGCATACATCTTGGTCGCGAACAGCGGGAACGCAGCCCCGAACACCGATCGCATGAAGGCGCTCGCAGCCAACGCCGAGGCCGCATATATCGCGTACGAGTCGATGAGGTAGTTGGTCAAGCTCAGGAATACGAGCACGAGCCCTGCCCCGAATACTCCGGAGGCGATGATCGGTACGATCCAGGCGACATCGGGTCCGTTCGTCCACGCAAACCAGAACAAGCCGACGGGCAAGAAGCATGCGCCTATCATTGCCGGCGGCAGCCTGGATTCCGGGGGCGCTGATCCGGTCGCAAGAGTGAGCGCCCGGTACCTCTTCTGGTCATACAGGAGAAACGCGATCGAAAGCGCCATCCCTATCGTCATGCCCAGAAACGCCAGTGCACTGATCTCAGGTGCCCATCCACGAGTCTGCGCAAAGATGATGGGGAAAGCAGGGAAGAGCATGTAAAGCGTCCCGTATATGAAGGCGATGTATATCGCGCTCAACAAGACAATCGGCTCGCGCAGTAGCATCACCCAGGGCCGGGATAATGCGATTCGAAACCGATTCTTGGCCGTGGCCTGGCTCTTCCTATCTTCGAAGCGAGAGATATACTGGTCCCCAGTGATAGCAGACAGTTTCTGAGCCCGCCGGCGCAACAAGACTGGACTGTACGTCTCTGGGACGCTGAATGCGCAAATTACCACCATCACACCAGTGAGAATGGCCATAAGGCCTTCAACCCATCGCCAGCCACACCTAGTCCCCAGAAAGCCACTAACAATTGGACCTATCGATATCAGATTAGAACTACGCAAATACCGCAAACTGCTATAGATCGCTCACCTAGAGAGGGTCCAAGAAGTGGTGCAGAAGCAAAAAGGATGCTAGCCCGACCGCGCTCGACCGGCGCAAACAGGTCGGCGACAGCAGCGCCGGCATTGACAAGGGGCGCCGAGCCCACCGTACCAGCAAGGAAGCGTAAGATTATCAATGTCTGGATATTTTGGGCAACAGCAGCGCCGACGTTGAAGATGACTAGCGCAGTGTACGTCGACAGGAACGCATATTGCCGACCGAAGAGTTCGGAAAGCGGCGCCCAGAACAGTGGCCCGATCGCGAAGCCGAGGACGAAAAGCGAAATCCCCAAGACGCCGACTTCTGACGAGACGTTGAACGTGCGAACGACATCGGGTAGCGCTCCGGAGAATGCGGTGCTAACAAAGGCCACGATGAAGGCGCTCAAGGCCTGCAGGAATATGATGGTCCATTTCTTCCTCGACGAGAAAGCTCTTGGATTCCGGTCGTCAATTGGGAGAAAATCAACGATAAATGGTGATTGGGAGGTGCCATGACCGGGGTATGAGTGTGCAATGACTTGTGAATCAACACCGGCCTGGTCGATGAGGCGTTGTAGGTGACTTGATCTCGATGAGCTTTCCCGGGATTCTTGCTCTACTTTCTCCAGATCTCTAGAGAACCCTGGTCTCTGTGGCGGTGCCACGTCAACATGTGGAATGGCTTCCATTTTGCGGCTGGTCCCGACGACTGCAATAAAGATCCCAGATGCTACTACGCTACGGTAAGTTCAGAGCCACACACCACAGGCTCTTAATCTTGAGGTGGTTGAGCGGCTAAAGGCATGGATGCAGACAGTCACACCAGTTGGCACCATGGACGGATATCTGATGCAACCCTGAGGGGGACCAAGGCTCGGAACGGTTATCCGTCCTAAAAGCAACCTACAGCTGCAGGTACTCTCACCACCCTCTGCCGGAAACCTTAAAGACCAATGAGACATGGTTTGATGTTGGCCCAGTAGCCACCGTTATCTTGCTCGTTCCCATATACCCGATTGGGACCCTTCGAACCGCTCCACACATGTGTACGGGCAGCCTATCGAGAGAAAGCATTGCCTCTTCGCATTTTCATTACGAAATTATTTATTTCAAGTGGCCCTTCCAAGATCTAAGAGATCTTGTGAGAAGACATTCATGAACTAAGTTTGCGATTGATTCTCCACCTTATGGAGACAGTCCCCATATTCTCAACAATAGTGTTTTGCCTGCTCGTACCCGGTGCTGTTTCCAGAGGACCTAGTCTGTTCATCGTAAGACCGAGGGAGACCATGTGGCAGTGTGTGGTTTTTCTTGTACCAATCTGTAATACCGTTCCCGGATTCCTGATTCGAAATACGCTCGCCCATGGCGCCAAGTACAAACGGAGATGTACTACTTCTCAGCGTCCTCTAACAGGAGCGACAAGTCATGTTTGTTTTTAGACCGTCTCTGGTGCTCTTCAATATTGACCCTTGACCCAACCATATTCAGTCAAATCCAGGGTTAAGCATCTTCATTGGCCTATACGCTCTCATAGGTCTTGCATCGTCTCATCCACACAATGACACCCTCTGTTGACAAGTCCAATGGAGCTACCGAAAACGGGAACTCGGTCAAGGAGATGGGCAGCTCCTCGCTAATTAGACATCTCATCCCCGAAGATGAACAACATCCTGTACCTGGATTAGATGACCCGGTTAGGATGACGCAGAATGCCACCACGGCGCACATCTTGACCGCGAGATGGACCATAGCCGAAGGTTGGGCTGCCCCGGAAATTAAACGGTATGGGAACATTGAGCTTCCCCCAACGGCCAGTGTGTTGCACTACGCCACGAGCTGCTTTGTAGGTCTTCCAATGAGTTTCCAGAAGCATGTGTGGAAGTTCCCGGATGCACTGACTGACAGTTGCGTGTAATAGGAGGGCATGAAAGCATATCGTGGTTTTGACAACAAGCTGCGTCTGTTCCGCCCATGGCTCAACTGTGCGAGGATGAGAGACTCGAATGAGCGCGTCTCACTCCCCGATTTCGATCCTGAGGAGCTTCTGAAACTCATCTCTACCTTTGTCGCCACTGAGGGCCCAAGGTGGCTACCAGATGCCGGATCTACCTTCTACGTCCGGCCGTCCATGGTGGGCAGCGGATCCGCGTTGGGTATCAACAGGCCACCCGAAGCACTGTTCTTCGTTTTTGCAGTCCTGTTTCCTCAGTCTAAGCCGGGAACCATCAATCCCGGTATTCGCCTCATTACTTCTCAACCAAGCCAAATCAGGGCGTGGCCCGGAGGTTTTGGAAATACAAAGGTCAGTAAATCCAGTACGAACCGAGTAGCCGATGCTCTATATGGTTCTTTGATATCGCGATCTGTGCCTACCTCTTCCACTGCCTCTGGCGGTTTAAAACCCTCCTTGTGCATTTTCTTTCCATCATAATTTCTAAAGAGCTAAATGAAGTCCTAGGTCGGTGCCAACTATGGCCCAGCAATGACAGCCCAGGTTCGGGCGAGACAAAACGAGTGCAGTCAGACATTATGGTTGTTTGGAGACGGCAACATCGTCACTGAAGCAGGGGCCAGTAACTTTTTCGTCATTTGGAGACGGAGTGACAACAAGGAATTGGAGCTCGTAACATGTTCTGATGAGACGGGCGTCATCTTGAACGGCATTACTCGGCGAAGCGTTCTGGAGATCGCCAGAGAGAGACTTGGAAGCCAAGACACGGCGAATAAGCAAGCATCTGGCGAGCTTGAGGCTTTGGATGTGATTGAAAGACCATTCTCGATTGATGAAGTTGTCAAAGCGCATCAAGAAGGCAGGCTTATCGAGGCATTCGTTTCCGGCACTGCGGTAAGTAGTTACATGGAGAATGCAACATACGATTCACGAGGAGGAAGGCTAATTGTATTCTTAGATGTTCATTTCGCCCGTGTCCCAGATCATTCATGAGGATAAATTCATCGACTTCCCAACGACCCAGAACGAGGCTGGGCAAAAGGTCACTGTGTCCAAATACGCAAAAACGATTAAGCTCTGGTTGGAGGACATCATTTACGGCCGAGAGGAGCATCCCTGGGCATTTGTAGTTGATGAGACGCGAGATGATCTCGCAAAGAAGGCTTAGTTGATAGTTACATGGTTGAAGAGGACATATGATTGTATCTAGATCAATATATTGGTAGGATATCATGACTTTTTACAGATACCATTTTCTACGTACTTCGTTCTACTTTCATAGCTTAACTGTCAGAACACAAACCTCCTTGAAAAGTCTCTGGTAGAAGACATCCTATTCAGAATCAGCCCCATGCCTTAACTCGACGAGATCCTAGTGGGTTTGATGTTCTCGTAGCTCTGCCATTGATCCACCCAGTCTAGCTGTAGTTCTGTCACTCGAACCTCCATTCTGTTTCAAAAGGAAAACGACGGCTGCTTGGACCCATTTCCAACCGGGCGGGAACCGCAAATGATTGCCTAGCAGGGTAATCGAGAACGACAGACCCACCAAGATGCACGAGAGCCTCATCTTGACAGTATTCCGTTTAATAAGAATAGCATATGCAACTTTTTTAATGTTACATGCATAAATCTTAATAGAACACGATTTCAAAAGCACACCATGTCGAAGAAGCACAAAGTACTCGTCATCGGAAATCCAGACGGCCTTGTCGAGCCAGACCGTTGGGGGAAGTTCGTTACTCAGTATGATGTGACTCTATACGACTTCAAATCGCAAGACGAGTTTCATGAGTCTTTGAAGTCCGGTCCATGCTCTGAAATCTCGGGCATCGTCCGTCTCGGGCTGAGAACCCCTCCGGCGGCCGCGAAAGTTGGACAGGGCTGGACGAGGCTGGCCATGAATCACTTCCCCTCTACTCTAAGAGTCATCGTCAACTTTGGGCATGGATTTGAGGAAGAGGATATCGAGGGTCTCAACAGCCGGGGCATCAAGTTTTACAACTCTTGTGGGGGCAGCGAGTCCACCGCCACCATCGGCACCTATCTCACTATTGCGGCCTTCCGCAACTTGAGTCGGTATGAGAGGATGTTACGGTCCGGACAGTTTCTTCCCGCCTTGAGAGAGTCTTTGAATTCCGCGATGGACGTACAGAACAAACATGTCGGGATTATTGGAATGGGTGCTATTGGGCAGGCTCTGGCGATGCAAGTGGCAGCACTCGGGATGCACATCCATGCCGTCGATAGACCCAGTCTCCGCGCCATGATCGAAGATCCGACAAAGTGGCCAGGCCAACCAGAGATTCAAGTTCATGCCACGATAGACCTGCTAATCCCTCAGGTCGACTGCATTGTCTTAACATGCCCTTACTCGACCGAGACACACCACCTTCTTTCACGGGAACGCTTTCGGAATATGAAGAAAGGCGTCAGGATTGTCAACATCGCTCGCGGGAAATGCATCGACGAGGAGGCTCTATGCGAAGCCATCGATGAGGGCATCGTCGGAGGGGTTGGTCTCGATGTCTATGAGAATGAGTAAATACTCCTGCTTGACTTGGAGGCTATGACAAGCACTAACTTTGAGACACAGGCCGCGAATTTCTGCAAAGTTGCTGGAGAAGCAAGACTTTGTCACGCTTCTTCCTCATGTCGGGGGATTGACGGTTGACGCGATGGCGGTAAGTTGCCTCACACCGCCCACAGCCGCGACTTTTCTGACCAGGTGAATTTCTAGAAACATGCTCAGATCTGCCTCGACAAAATGGATAAATACCTGTCTCAGGGCGAATAAACATAACATAGAATGTGTTTGACGGGGAAAGTGTTTCATAGAGCTAAAAGGGTACAGGTTTCCTGTGTGGACATGGGTAAAGCATAATGGAAGAACGGGTTCAAGTTTGGCGTGGAGAGCTTGTGCAATTGTTTTTTTTTTTGCCACTGTCTGGCTGTTTCTCAGCAATGAGTTTAGAGAAAACACTAAAAGAAATACAAAGCAGGTAGTCTAGCCATGAGACCAGCCAGAACTGGTCGTAAGTAGAATACATGCATATCTCTTCTCGATGTCTGCAGGCTTCCCGAACCAGGTGAAGATGATTTATTCAGATTGGCAATGTTTCCCATCCACGAAGCAGTTCCAAGATAGAAAGAAACGTCTTACTTCTCTGATATTTTCTCATCAGATGCTTTCTCATCGGAGGTTTCCTCATCAGAGATTTTCTCGTCAGAGGTTTTCTCATCAGGCAGCTTCTCATCCGGTGGCTTGTCATTCGATGGCTCCTCATCCGATGGATTGTCTAGAAGTAGTAGGTTAGGGGTATAATCCAAATGAAAAGGCATGAGGGGTCATTCTAACCCGATGAAGAAGACTTGTCATCAGTTTCATCAGGTTCCTCCTCGTCCATTTCGGCATCATCATCCTGGACTTGCTGGATGATCTCGATCAAGTAGCGTTCCGGGTCCATGAAGCGTTGGGGGCGTTCAAAGTCAAAGCGAGGAAGAACGAAGCCTTGGGCCTTAGCAGGCTGTTCAGCGGAGCTCTCGTCCTCAGTGTCGGCAGAGGGCTTGGGCGAGTCTGCGGATGTAGTGGATGGTGGCTTCATGATAGAGAGTTCCACATCCTCGGTTTTCTTTGATTCAGCCATGTTGATCTTTTTTGGTCGACGTAGTGATCTCTGAAAACAGGGAAGGAGAACAGTGTAGAGAGCGACTGGGGTAAAGTGTAAGAGGGTGGGTCACAACAAAGTAAGAAGGTGAGCTTCGTTTGAGGGCGGACAGGTTCTCGGAAGACGGGGAAAGTACGCGCCGGGTCATCTGGCATGTCCCCTTCTATGAGTCAGAGGGCGCCTGGCCATCGTTCCTGGACATTAATCCTGCTGTACTGGCTCTCCAGGAGGGACCTCGCACGCCAGAGCCTAGGCAACCTGATACTTAGGGTCCCCTAGGCTTCATAGCAGAGCAATTCAGGGAGGCCGGTGCTAATTGATATCCGCTACACATCACATCAGTTACCCAACTGTATTTCAGAGGGGACTATGATTAGGCACTAACTTTACATGAACTCAGAAGCCTCTGCGTCCAACGAGACATTATAATCTGGCCCAACATAGAACCCAGCCCAGTACTTGAAAGGATAAGGAACAACTTAACGGCAAGAAACCCTTTACCAGTTCACTGCGTGCAAGTTGGTACTCTTTATTATTATGTTGACTATCATCACGCGATTTCCACTCGGGTGATGGCACAAAAAACACACAGATTGGATGGTCTTTTAATGTGCCAAGCTTGATGGCGGCTCGTCCCCACAGATGATCTACAGATGTGATATTAGGCCATGGATCCCTGCAAAATGGGTCTAGGCTCAAGACTCTAGTGAAGCCCGCCAACGGTCGCATCGCGTGTGGCTGTGCTCAAACCTCAACTTCATCCTTGAACCGACACATGTGCTCGCATTGACATCCTACGACTTGCCGACCGATGAGATGCCACTTTACCATTCACGCTACTCGCTCGGAGTATTCCCTTGGTGAATCCTTCTCACACTTGATCTCGATCACTGCCAGTGGCCAGCCCGATCACGAGATTTAGTCACCCTTCTTAGCGCGTTGCGATTGAGGCTTTTGTCCGCTTCCTGACCGCCATCGACTGGCATCCCAGCTACAAGTGAGTGCTGCTGACCGTCTGATCTGGTCGACTTATTTTAACTGTTTCGAGCAACAGGATCGGGCCAAAATGGGCAAGCACGATACCAGGGGCGCCCAGGGGAGAGGCCCATCCCCAGCTGCTCCTTTAATGCAGCGGACCCGGCATGTCCTGTACAACACGCTGGATCCTAGAAAAGGCCTCATACGACTAGTTCGGATCGATCGCCGACAGAACGACCTGCAGTCAGCATTCTTCTGTTTGGAGGAGCACCCGATCGACAAAGCTCCGGAGTATATGGCCATCTCTTACATGTGGGGGCCTGATGCCCAAGGAGGCGACATCGAACTCGATGGGCACGCCGTTCACGTTCGCCAAAATCTATATAACCTTATTCACAACGTTCTCACTCGCCGGGTGACCAGCCACAGAGAGACGGCAAGCCCCAGGGGTCTACCCAACGACGTCCATCACTTTTGGGTGGATACATTGTGCATCAATCAGAATGATCTCGGGGAGCGCAGTCACCAAGTCCAAATGATGGGACATATTTATCGTTCAGCCAGGAGTGTGTTCGTATGGCTCGGACCTGCAGACGACGATAGCGATTACGTGTTCGACATGCATGATAGAGTGCGCAGCCCAAAGTTTAAGCACGACTACGGGCATGAGAGATTTGCAAAAGCCCTTCTTGCTCTGTTTCGCCGAGAGTATTGGTATCGAGCTTGGATCAGACAAGAGATCCTCAACGCCCAGATGGACGACGTTACCATCAATTGTGGTGACCGGTCGCTGAAACTGGGACTCCTGGCCGATGTTTGCTCTGACGGGAGTTGGGGAGCAGAGCTGAATCGCGCACTAGGCGCAAGTCCTGTCGCGGATCTTGTTCACCGTGATGGCTGGGCAGAGAAGCTGGACAGATTGCTTCAGCTTTATGGCGAAGGAAGATGCAGTGATATCAGAGATCGAGTTTACTCCCTCCTCTCCTTGGCCTCAGACCAGGAGGTTGTGTCCGAGGTATTGCGGGTCGATTATACGCAGCCAACATCATTTCTCTTCTGGCAACTGATTTGCTACTTTACCAAACTATATGACTGGGCAGGTGCCCTGGCGGCAGCTAGAGGGATGAAGCAAATCCTAGAAGTCGATGATCAAATGACAAGGAGCATCAGAAATTGGACCACAATACAGAAATGCATCGGGACCGTTCCATGCATTGACTGGATTCGAGAATTCCTCGGCCTAGCTAGGGAGGCACGGAGGATCCAGGCACGAAAACGAGCAAGCCCTCAAGAAGGCCAGCCAGAAACTCCAGGTTCAGGGGCGGAAGACGAAGAGTATTTTACGCTATCCTCAACAACATACGAAAAGATGATCTCGGAGAGTAAGCTAAAGGACCCAGCCTGGTCTAACTGGAAACAACACGAGAGAAAGCGGAATTTTCAACAGCCATCAAGCCCACCCATACAAAACATGGCGGCGCTCAACTCTCGTGCACATGATACAGCGCAGCTCCGGCCAATCATTCATAACACTTCTCCGGCATGGCTCCGTTTGATTCGAAATAGGCTGACTAAAAACGACTGGTTTGACTCGCTAGATTGGTTCAACTTCACCTTAGAAGCCATTGACCTAGCTTCTCGAGATTTCAATGAGAGGTCTGCGAGATGGAAGAAACTTCTTGAATGGTTGGAATCCATCATCAACACCCTCAGGCTGAGGATTGAACGGATGAGGAAGAATTAAATGCCTGTTAACTGCAAGACGCTAAGAAAAATATAGCAATCATCATATTCCACGACGGCAACACTTCGTCGTCGACCTCGAGCTCGGCGACATTTCAGTTTATTGATCACACCATCGGACCTCATAAAACTGTTTCTTTCTACTTGATCTGTTAGAGCTGAAATCCATTACGCTCGAATCCCAGCAGCTACGAATAATCACTTCTGGTGGGCTTCGTTGCCTGTATCTCACGTAAGCGGGGCAACACTGCTCAGGGGGTTACGCCCGGCTTGTTACCATTTCACTGATCAGGAATGTCGCTAGAGCAAGCTGTTAGCAAGGTGATTGGTGAGGAATAGAGCCTAAGGGCGCTGGGAGATCGTTCAATGTGACGAAAACACGTGATAAGGGGTACTCAAATACATCCATGTCCTTCTCAGGACGACCCGAACGACCCAACAACTCATTTATCTTTACACTTAAGATACCAAGACTTTCGAGAAATCAGTATGAACTGGCTATGGTCCCGCCTCAATCCGCGGTCGAAGTGGCATGAAGAAAAAAGTGTGCGGCGAGCCAGGACACAGAAGCGCAGGAGACAGAAACTCCAGCAAGAGCAAGAGGAAATAGACAGGCAACAGTTGCCAACTTGGCCCCATGATCAAGTACCGATAGAAATCGGTCCGGCGCTGCAGCAAAATGGCTGTTTCTTTTCATTAGCCTCTGAAATTCGCCATCTCATCCTACGGGAAGCCTTCGGTGACCAGACAGTCCACCTGGATCTGGATTTTCGGCATCCGTTCAAGACCTTATCCTCCAACAAAGAGGAATTGGAGCTGAAAAGAATCCAATATCCTAATTTTATGCATGCAAATATCTCTGCCAACATTCTTGGACCCCCATACGATCGATCAGTGCCCAAAAGCTGGATGTGGTTCAGCTGCGTATGCCATCGATGCCACCCGACCGATCCTCTATCTTACGGAAGAAAAGCAAACGCTTCCACCCCAGATGCATACGAACCACGATGTGACAATTGTCTTCGAGCCGGGGGTCTCTGCAGAGAATACCCAGGAGAATGGCCATCCAAGTGCTTCATCGGTATCTCAGGCTGGCTACTAGCTTGCAGACAGGCGTAAGTAGCAGCTGCTGATATTCTCTCCGGATTCACCCTTGATACTAAAAATTCTCTTCCGCCTAGATATCGCGAAGGCATCGAGGTCCTTTACGGCACGAACACAATCCACATCCAATCGCCATCCCTGATCTGTGGCATCGAGGATTTCCTATCACCCAATATCCTGTGCATGATGACTTCACTGGAGCTTGTCTGGAGCCTGGAAGATATCGGACCTGACGAAGCATTTATTCGGCGTTCTTTATTAGGTCTTTCTACCATTGATGACCTCCAGCAATCCCATGTCACTTTTCCGTCACTTCGGCATCTTCGAATCGGCTTTAAACCTCTGCTATGGTCCGACAAAGCCTTCGGCGGCCGGATAGGATGGGGTGCCACCGACACCGAGAGGAAGGAGGCAGAGGAAAGAATCCACGATTACTTCCTCCCAAGACTAGACCAGTTACTGGAGAGAATTGCGCCACCCGCTGCGGAAGTAGTTGTTTCCTGGGATAGTTGGCTCTGGTACTCGCGGACTGATCTCAAGCTCCTCGAGGTCCAGGGCAGGGAAAGGACGCGGATGCATCAACCGGAGATTGGAGGCCTGGCGTGCTGGAGAGTAATTCCCGCGCTGGGTGGCACGAAGCCAAGTCTGGCGGAAGGGAGTGTGACGGGGAGGTCGAAAAGAGATGGATATTGGATACATGTTGCTGATGCACAGCTGAGCAACCGTTACCGTAAGGCAGATTCCCATCCTAATATTGAGATCGACTGTTTCTTTACTAACTTTACCAGATAATTTCAAAGATTGGCACCGGCATGAGCTGTATGGCTTCTTGGCATAGCCCAACGAGTCGTTTATTGGCTGTACAAGGGGGAGGAACCAAAAGAGAGATATACAATCTTGGACGTTCTAATCCCCTCCCCAAAAAAGGAGGGCAGCATTGGGCGTTTTTGCAATCTTCTTGTATCTCAATGGTTTTCTTGGTCTGATCGGCATCCTGATGAGTATGAGGGCAGTTGCTTAGCAGTTCCAAGTAGAAAGTGTTCTAGCTACGGTGTTGATGTACACATTAGCCATCCACGCAATATCCTATCTCTTTTAAGGCGAATATGTATATATATGCATAAATTAATATTCATTGTGTTGAGATATTGTGTCTGGCATCTTCTATTATTATTTTTAACTTTATACTCGAACTCTGTTCCCATCCATAAATCAAAGCCTGCTCTCGAAACTGCTTGCCGATAGCTCACAAGAAATCGCACTCATTGATACTGGCGAGCGAGATAGTGCGGAACAGCTCCGCGGTACGTAGCGAAGGCCCACTTTCCGGACATAAGGCCTAACGCTCCGCCGCCATCGAATCTTTTGCATCTTTACGTCCATCCATCATCCTTACCTCCCGCTTCCGCGCAGCGATACGACAAGGATCCAATGGAAATGGACGCGCCGCTGCCACACCCTCCACCCGGTCGACGCCGCAAGGTTCGGAAAGGCACCTTCTCCTGCTGGGAGTGCAAGAGACGGAAGCGCCGCTGCGAACTCAAGCCAGGGTCGTCCTCGGCCTGTGTGTCCTGCCAGCGCCGGGGTCTGCCATGCCTGAGCCAGGAAGAGTATGAGCCCCAGGCCGGCCCGAGCAGGTGTCAGAGCGTATCTGCCATGTCGAAAATCTGGTCGGTGTGCTTCTCCAGCAAAGACGGCAGCAGCACGGGACGATTGGGAGCGCGAGCACTCTCACCATCCCTCCTTCGCCTTCAGGATCCTCGCTTAGTATCACGACCTATCTGTATTCGGTCCTTCCCTCCCCTTCAGATACAACTTCCATACTATCACACGGAGACTCTTTCCGCATGCCCCAATGGCATGGATGGGCTCGTTCGGCCCTGCTGTCGGAGCCTCCACCCCTCGAGGCACAACCTATCTGGCATGGTCGCAGGCTGATGCACCTTGCCCTCCGTTTGCAAGACTCCAACGTTCCCGGATGGGATGCATCAAAGTATGCGCAAATAGTGGCTCACTTTGTCTCCTCCATCGACGCATTGGTGTCTTCCAGCGACGGAATCGAAACTCTGATGCTCGAGGCTATGTACTACGTCAATGATGGGAAACTTGAAGAAGCATTTCTCCGGTGCCGTCGAGCCATGTCGATAGCCCAGCTTCTGGGTCTCGACCGTGCGGGATGGACAAACAACACGATTCTCCGCCGTCTTATATTTGGCGATCGCGTCATGTCCCTGGAACTAGGCGTGGCGCACTTTGGGGTCACGAATTATGGATCGCTTGACGATGTCGATCCGATTGCCCGGTTGGAAAGGAGCCATGTAATAACTGCTACTCGAATTATCGAACGAAACTTACGCATGATGAACACAAGTCCAGAGTCGACACGGGCTGAGACGCAGGGCATTGACCAAGTGATGAAGAAGGTGATGATGGATCTTCCGTCAGGCTGGTGGTCAGCGTCAACGAAGAAATCGCTCTCAACCCTCACGGAGGATAAGGCGATGGAAGAAACTATGAAGCTGATCTCTCAGGTAAATCACTACTGGCTGCTCATGCAACTCCATCAACCACCTATCATACTGGACCTCTGCTGCCCTGTAAGTTCTGGGACGAACTCGTACTCGAGAACAGTCTTGGCCTCCTCATGTCGTCAGGTCCTCTCGCGCTTTCTACTCATACGGAAATATCATGGTGGTGGACTATACCGCGGCGCCGATCCCAAGGCGGTCTCGGCTTCCATCGGGCTTCTCCTGGCACACATCGATGGTCATCGGGATAGCACTGATAATGCGTTGGAGCATCTACGACCACAAGACATGGATCTCATCCGCGATTCACTTGATCTGTTCAAAGCCCTCTCGAGACCGAATTCGGAACTATCGGCTCTACAAAGTTTGCTCGCAATTGAATCAAAGGCAGCCGGTGGAACCGATTATATGTTCTCGACGACGACTGAAGATGCACTACGATTGACGTTACCCTACTTCGGCACCATGAGTTTGATACCGATATCATCTGGGGTGGGAGGTCGTGAAACTGAATCTTTAACTCTCTGAAAATTACCTGTGTTTCACTACAATCCTTGTCGACTAAGAGATGCAGTATGCTCGAGTATCTTATCTCGATACGCTGAGACTTGGTCACAAGCTTACTAGTTAGGCTTTAGTAGTATTCGACCGAAACAGTCTTTGATCTAATATTTCGGAAAAGCTATCTATCACGGCATGATCTCCAATTCCCAGGATGAACCTATTTACTGCAATGGAGCACTGTCACCAAAGGCATGACCCAACAGCTCTTGAACCCTCTGTCCCGCAAAGTCACTTGCCAGCTCTCGAAGTTTCTGATTCTGCTCGCTGGAAATGGAGATCGACATGCTCGCCGTATTTTCTCTAAGGCGGTGGATCTTGGTTGTTCCAGGAATGGGGAAAATATCGTCGCCCTGTGCAAGAAGCCAAGCCAGAGCCAGTTGGCTGTTGGTCGCGCCGACGTCTTTGGCTATTTCCGAGATCTTCTCGACAATGCCCACATTGTTGGACAGGTTTTCTTCTCGAAGCGCGGGAACCATGCCGCGCAAATCTCCAGGCTTCGAGATATCCTCACGGGTGCGGATGGCCCCGGATAGCAATCCCGAGTTCAGCGGGCCGTACGCTACCACCGCCACCCCGAGCTCCCGAGCCGTCTCCAGGAGCGGGGCCTGGGGCGTCTCAATGACCCTGCAGAAGAGGCTGTACTCGAGCTGCACGCAAGAAACGGGGTGGACGGCATGACCTCGGCGGAGACTGGCTGCGCTGCACTCGCTGAGGCCAATGTGCTTGATCTTGCCCTGGTTTTTCAGCTCAACGAGAACCTCCATCGTCTTCTCAATGGGCGTCACCTTATCGAGGCGGTGGATGTAGTAGATATCAACATATGACACGCCGAGTCTTGAGAGTGATTTCTCAATGGCCTGGCGGCAGTACTCCGGCGAAGAATCAACGATAAATCTAGAACGTTGCTCTTCTCCAGGCCGGATGGCGAACTTGGTGGCAAGAGTAATGTCCTTGCGCTTCTCGGGGTTGGCCCGGAACCACTTGCCCAGGACGTCTTCGGCGTCGGCATACTCGTCCGCTGAGCCATGGTCAGGAGGAGTCACAACAAGGAAAGAGAGGGTTATAGGTGGATTGAGAGGAGCTCACCAGTGTCCCAGAATCTTGCACCGATGTTGTAGGCTTCATCCAAGAGAGCCAGGCGCTCCTCATCAGAAAGTGCGACGCCGTATGCGCCACCTCCTAGCGGGACGCATCCGAGGCCGATACGAGGAACGAGGGGACCATTCTTTCCTAGCTGTCGAAGCTCGACTCCAGATTTGGCAGACATGATGGATGAGGTGAATGTAGAAGGTGGTTGTTGTTGTGCTGTTTAGGATGTTTAGGATGCTTTGCTATCTTGATGAGAAGGACGGTCATTCTAGTAGAGGAGTAGATTAGTTTTTATACTTGGTTGTACGGACTTTAGCGGTGGCCCGTTTTCTGGCGTTGACGAACGTAATTCACAGCCTGCGGCGGAACTCAATAGGCTCACTTGCCATTGCAAGCTCCAAATTGTTGATGGTGTTGATCGTCGATGCTCTTCGCCCGCAAACTCCACCGTCGCTCCGGTCGGCTCCACTTTATTCGGCCGCCGTTTCCCCCCGCCAATGTGGCTGATCTCCCTGGGCGTTGATATTGTTGTTAAGGCTAATAGAACCCAAAATTGAGAACTCTAATACTCCCCGGAATGCCTCGGCCGGCAGTAGATGCTGTCGTCATTCTGCATAGCAAGGGTGATGGCTCCCACCCCTGTGGGCGGCGTCTAGTCTATCCCCTAGATGCCCGAGCACTGGAAAAGATGACCAGGAGCACATCGATATGTGGTTTCAGAAGGCTGGTATACGGGACAGATGGTAACCTTGGAGTCGGAAGTGTATTTTTGGGTTGGCGACCCCGAAGCGAGCAGGACTGGTCGGCACATTGGTAATGAGCCGGCGCTGCATCAGACGTTCCACACAGAACAAAGAAAAGGGTAATACTCGTGTTTAGTTGCCGTGAGCATGGGCAAATTAGCTGTGTTGAAATGAGTAGAAAGAAACGAAACAACCTAGAGTAGGTAGTTTCTTATTAATATGTTTGTAAAGATAGATGCAAATTCGATCACTAAGCCAGGAATCACAAGATGAGAATGTAGTGCTCGACTGACCTCAGTCGGAACGCAAGGAGATAGTATGGGTATCCAAGGCATTTATTTTTTGAATTCGTCCCAGGCGGCATCAAATCTGAAGTATTCGCACACGTACATCATAATAAAATCTAACATGAAAGACTATTTCCATCTCATTGGCCTAAATTTCCCCCTGGCGAACAGTATGTGGGATAGACGGATCCTTTTCTCCGGGTTACAATTAACACAACACAGGTAGCTTCGTCCAGTCACTGGATATAGTCTGGGGCAGCAGAAAGAAGTCGCCCAAGTTAAGAGGGGCCTCAACAGTAAAGCTTCTGGTGATTCCCAGTCACAACATGAAACTACTGCTTGTATGCCGGAGGCAAGAAGCCAGGAGGAGGTGGGCCTGCAGGCGGGGCCCAGGTCTGCTGCTGACCGTCCTGCTGGGGGTTCTGATCTCTGTAGGCAGGGTGAATGCTGGACTGGGCCGGCTGGTAGCTCTGCTCGTCGTCGGAGTCGTTCATGAGCTTCTCCTCGGGGGAGGGGTTCTTCTCCTCGAACTCCTTCTGCTGGGCGCGCTGCTTCTTGAGGGCGGACCGCTTCTTGAGCCGGGGCACGACGAAGAAGATGATGAAGGCGATGAGGGCGATGGCGACGACGACGGAGACGACGACGATGATGATCTGGGTGGTGGTGAGCTTCACGCCACCGCTCTTCTTGGGCTTGGAGACGTTGATGTTGACGCTGTTGTTCTTGCCCTTGGACTTGCTGCCGCTGTTGTGGTTCGTCTCCGTCTTGGACTTTGTCTTCTTGTTCTTGTCCGTGCCCTTGACGTGCGACTTCTCGGTGGTGCTCTTGCTCTTCGTCTTCGTTTTCGTTTCCCTGATGGCCAGCGAGACTAGATCATCTTCACCCGTGAGGAAGGGGAGGGCTGCACCGTAGGCATAGGGAAGGGCCCAGAGGAGCATCAGCAGGTGCGACAGGAAATAGCTACGGGACGACGCCATCTTCGGTGACGGATCTGGTGCCGGTGGTTATCTCGTCAATATCAGTGGGGTTCGGTCGATTCCCGCTTAGCGAATGGGAGGAAGGGGCTGTTTGATCACGACCTGACGAGACGGAGTCAAGAGTCAGAGGCAAGCCACGAGCTGAGGATGGGAGGGCGGGCTGGGATACTTATTGAACGCCGTCTGGTAAGCTAACAGCTGGTTAGCCTCCATGCTGACAGCCATCCATGCCTGCCAGAGGGAGAAAAGCTTTGAGCAGGGCCGCTGGGGCTGTGTGGAGCAGACAATGGCTTCCAGGTTGCTTGCAGGCGATGAGTTGGTCAGCCTTGGGGCTTGGCCTGGGATCCATTTCTGGCCCTCTGGTCGGTCGCAGCTTCCTTGACAAAAGCCGCCTTTTCAATGCCTGCTGTGGGTGCATTGTGCGCTGGTCAGGTTCCGCATCGGGCAAGATTCGTCGAGCGAGGGGGAGAGCTCGGAAGCTCATTTCAGCTGGCCCGTGGACTCCCACACCGGAACAGCAGCTCAAGCTTACTGGAGCAGTAAGGCTGCTTAATTGCTTAGCGCAGTGGGCTGAATGACTAGGAGGAACACCATCCTGGTCCGGTGCTGTTGGAGGCAGGGGGAGGTTGGACTGGCCCCCATTCTGGGCTGATTGGCGGCCAATTGGGGCGCAGGCTCAGTGTTGGTCAACTGTTGCCCTGTAGCGGGTAAAAATAGACCGACAGGCCATTTCAATCTGCTCCAGCTGGTGCTTGCTTCGAAGTTCGACCCAGCCCTAGGCATGTTGGCGAGATAGCTTTCGCCAGATCTAAGCCTGCGTAGCAAGGATTGTATTATCTATCATCTAAAGCCAAACCTAACGGCCAACGTCCCATTGCACCATTTCCGCGCCCAAGTCCGCCACTCCAATGGGAATGAGCCTGGGTAGTGCTGACGGTTGTTGGGCCTGCTGGTGTCAGCAGTGATACCTGATGCATCTCACCTGCAAGGTCTACCGTGGATCGACTATGCCCCTGATCCAGAGCTGCTTTCAATGCTTTCACCGACTCAGTGAGGACGGTGGAACGAGAAGACGAGAGTCATACTCCAAACGAACACACGGCACGCTACGGACGGAAAAGCAAATGGACAACACTGATTAATGGCTAAACACGTCCAACTATTCTTGGACCCCTTCCCATCTCGACTAATCAGCGACGGCGTACAGACGATCGGTTTGCTCCAGGGGGCTGTGCTGGATGGCTCTGTCCAGACCCGCTCTCCTGGCCCTCCCATCAGCCACTAGGGAGTTGTAATCTAAAGTCCAACAAGGTTATACCGCTAGCTTGACATCCATGGGTCCGGATTTTGCGAGCTGGAAATAGCCCCAGTCCCAGGCGGCACTGAAACCATTGACTTCCGTCATGCTGTCAGTGAGTGACTGGCGGATATATCATCGCCGGCTGAGCGGAAATATCGCCGTACCAACCATCATACCCTATACCAGGATTATGTTATTCTTGCGTTCTTTATCTCGGAAACAACACTATTTAGAACACCCGAACGGAGAGATTTGTAGTATGAAATCTTTGCATTTGGATTCGCCGATCCATGATTGCCCTATTGGCTCCTGTTTCCTTATGGCTCTACCTTTAGGCCTTGAGTGATCCGCACTTAGCTATTTTACATCATCATCTTCGTGATATCTGCGTACTCCTCGTGTCACTCTTCATTGTCATTATCATGTCATCATACCCCAGCTATTGGGCGTTAGCCCGCTCCGATTTGATCTCAAAACGTTGAAATCTTCCTCTCTCAGCACCTGTTCAATGCATGTACCATTTCATGGCGTACCAGGGCAGAGCAATGGCCATCAGGAACAGAGAAGCGGTCTCGAAGAAGGCCAAGATCGCAGCCGTCACCCCGGGGGGCATGATCTGGTCGGTGAAGTGCACATCGTTCAGCCGACGCATGCTAAGCTCATACATGGTAAAGTTACCAAGCAAGAAGATGCCGTAGATGATTCCAAAAGTAATCTCGAAGCTGATCTTGTTCTCATTGTCCGTGATGTCGACAAGCTCCGTGGTCTCGCCGCGAAGCTCAATGGCATCCTCGGGACTGGATGCGATTATCTTCGGCTGATCCTGCAGCTTCTTCTCTGCCTGGTCGAGAATGTATTCCTGGATTCGGAATGCCTGCGCCTGTGCGTAGTTTGCGTGCGCATTGTACGCGTTCCTCGAAAGGACGAGACGCATTTTGCCGAGCAGCTGCTGCTGCCACTCCTTGACTGTCTGGTAAGGCTCGATAGCGTCGGGGTTGACATGAACCGGACCAGCCAGCAAGTTGCACGCCATCTGGGTGGCCAATTCGTGGAATCCAACGGGAACAAACAACTTCACAAGATCCTCAGCTTGGACCGCATGAGTCAAGGAGGCGAGTGGTCGCTGTACGTTTCTGAGGCTCTTCTCGGCCTTGTCACCGCATCTGTCCACCACCGTGACTAGATTGAGGGCATTCTCGTCAAGAATCATACTATTCGTCTCATCCTCATACACGGTAGACTCAAAGAAGTTGGATGTCTCGTCCAGGGTGTGGGAGAGTGCAAGCACGAATGAGGCGGTCAACTCGAATGCTTCGAGAAGGGGAGAGAGGATCACCCAGGCCGGGTGGTGAAACTGATCAGCGTAGGCCGCGGCATCTTGGATTTCACCGGCTGCCTGCGCGATGTTCTCCATCTGTTCTCGGGCCGCCTTGACGATCTTGGCGGTCCAGTGCTTGTACTTCTCCTCCGCGGCAATTGAGAGCTGGGTGACATGTCGTTCAAGTCTCTCCCCTGGGGGAAGTTCCGCATAGTGCTGTTCGCCGAGATGGTAGAACGCCTCATCAAGGCCATTGTAGATGGTCTCATCAAGGCAATCATAACAAATAGATCCAAATCGGTTCCTGGCACCGATTGCGTTGCCGGGTCCTGGCCGAGAAAGGATAACCCACTTTGTAGGGATTTGGGCCTTTGAACGAATCTCGGGGGGCTAAGTCGGGTGATTAGCACACTAGCTTGAACAAAATTGCTCGATCTTTGGGATGGCGGGTTGTCATTCTTACCTTGAACCCTTTGTAAAGGACACCAAACAGCTTGTGGAGGCCCGGAGAGGAAAAGTCCTTGGGAACGAACGCCTCGAGGAAGCGGATCGCAGCCTTGCAGAGATCATGATAGTCGACGAGCGTCTTCTGCTCTAGGAACCGTCCCTTATTCTGGCCGTTGGCATTTGAGAGCTGGTCCATGATTTCGTGTACTTTTTCTTTGAACATCTCCAAAGTACATTCGGCGCTGCTGGTGCCGCCACTAAGGACCCAGGCTTCCTGTTGAGGCAAGTCTTTGGGGAAGAACTGTCCGAGATAGATCTCAGCTCTAAGCAGACGGGCTTCGATGCTGTTTCTCATGTCATTTTCTTCGTTGACTGGATTCGTGTTCTCATTGGTTGAGCCCCAGGCGAAAATGGGAGGAGAGGCTGCATCTAGGTCCCAATTGCGAAGCTCTCCATCTGCTGAACATGGTCAATAATTAGGTCCCCAGGGCCGCCAAATGCCAAAGGTAAGACTCACCTTCGTGTTGGTCTTCATCGATGCTTCTAGCAATACGAGCGAAATCGACATCTTCAAAAGACGATCCAATACTCTGCGAGGCACGCTCATTCTGCATTTCCTGAGTCTGCTCGCGGACCCATTCCTCGGTGTGGTCTCTGACTCGACTGCCTCCTCGCACAGGGCTGTTGAAAGAAGGGAAAATGCCGTCACCGGAATCGGAATCCGGTGCCTTTGGCTCCAGCTTCACATGAAGAACAGGTGACTGCCCATGCACCAGACGGGACCAGACCCAGGATGTCATCCGCTCTCCGGCCATTCCAAAGACGGTGAACTCCTCAGAGGCTTCTGAAGCAACGGCGAAATCGTTGGAATCAGTATCAGGCTTCATTTCCTCCAGCTGATATTGCAAAGCACTTTGCATTACCTATAATGTAGGAGTTAGTGTTGCACATTGACTTGGACAGCTCCCCTACTTACCATGAGGGTCGCGCAATGTGTGATGGGGATCTGGAATTGTAGCCCGTTCAGTTCAGTGACTTGGATCATGCGCTTGTCACGGCTGCTTGCCTCGAATTCCTTGATTTCGATGTTGTTGAACAGCGAATCTTGGCACGGCTTCCGGCCATAAGTAAGAATCCCGACTATATCTGCCGTTAGCGTGTATCAGTAGACGACATGTGTGTAGGGTACATACTATCATTGACAGTGATCATCCAAGTTTCACCAACCGAAAGAACCTCATCCATCTGGGACAGCTCACTTCCCAGCTCACTGTCGTGGAGATGGGTAATTTCATCAAGGGGGCGTGGCATGCAGACCCCGTCGCGATCTACGACATCAGGAGATTCGTGGAGGGAATCAGAGTGAACACAAGGGATCGACATAAAGGTCGCAGACGCGATGAAAGTTCCATTGTGATCAACATCACAACGGAGCAAGGTACCTGGCTTCATAAACCAGGTGTTGTTGTTTTTCTCGAACATTTTGTCCTCCACTGACTGGAGGACCGTCTGAACGGCCAGCTGCTCGTCAGGGTTTGAGACCAAGTGGCCATTCTTCACAGCAATCTCCTAAAATTCCAGTTAGTTTACGAAATGAGGAAGCAGCGGGGACGGGTTACCTTGAACTCATGGAAGTCCATGATATCTCTCACGACATTGCTTAAAAATCCAAGTTAGCTTAGGCCTAGGCACACGAAGGGACGAATCGAGAAGGCAAAACAGGCAACTTACAGATATCGAATCTTCTGGTTTTTTCCTGCAGGATTCACGGAAGGGGATGGATTGGCCTCGATAAGTTCGAAGGCAATCTTTTCACCACCCGCCTCTTCTTCGTAGAGGCGGACTGACGCGATGTCGCGACGGAATACTGGGGCAGGGTTACTTTCAAGAGGTGGGAGAGCAGGGCTGGGAGCCGGTCCATCATTTTGAGTCTGACGACTCTTTACGATGACTAGTCCCATCTCAAGCAAATCATCGTGCGTTTTGGCTTCACTGTTGGAAGGCTTTGCGGATGATGGGCCGGAGAATGGGCTGTTTTCATGGTCATTGTTGATTCCTAAGAGTGACGCAGGTGAACGTCAGTGTTGCTCCAGCTATTATTTTATCGGAAATGCTCCGTTTCATGCTTTGGGGTTGATTTACCTTTGATAAGGTCCAAAAGGCCAATGTTCTTGGCCTTGATGCCGCGGCGTGTAGCTGCCATGGCGTCGAGTGCTCGAGAAAGCTCACTAAGCTGGGGACCTTCCTCGGAAGATGAAGCCATGATGACTATGTTTAGCCCGTTAAAGGTGTGGCCAATCCAGAGAAGGAACTTGCGGGATGGAGAAGTGAGAAGGTGCGAGCTTCAGAGGGTGAACCATTTCTCACTTTGGTTTCGTTGGGGGGGAGGAGGGCCTAGTGACAGAGAAGAATAACACCAGACGGGACGATCACGTGTTCGCAGCCCCCATCAGATTCGAAGGCTGTGCACCACTGTGGCAGAGGCTTCCAGAACAGATGACAGCGCGCAGGTGCCTGGTGGCCAGTTGCCTTCAGTGCTGAAGGCTCCCCATGTTGGGGAACGAGGCTTCTAGAGACTCCCTATAGTCAACATCACTTGCAGTCTACAAGGCCAGGCTTCCGACTTGAAGCCCGTCCCACTTGTGCGTTTTCGTAGCTTCATTGGATTTCACAGACATCTACATGTCGCCTACAATCTCTAGGAATTCCAAAAAAATCAAACACTAGGTAGGTATCAGACTTTCAACCCTCACGTTCTGACCAGTCCATCACCATTTCATATTCTGTCCCTCGCCGTGATCCGTCGCCGTTATCCTCCTCCTTCAGTAACTCCCACGTATTCTCGCTAGTTTTAGTCAGAGCCACGATGTCACCATCGGCCCTCTTCTCCAGCTCCACGTTACTATCTTCACTAGCAAGAGATTCTGACCCTGGGTTGAGATACAGTGCTGGCAGTAGGGAGCTCTTCCACAGAGGCTCGAGGTTCCTACGGACGACAGAACGGACGACAGAGTACATCAGAAATACAAACGTGACTAACAGAATCAACGCAGGACCAAGAAGCCAGCGCCACAAGAACTCAGTACAGACGGCGGTCTGGATCACCTCTCCGTATATGTAACCGCCAGGCTCGGCGAGAGGGTTGAACTCGTCGACCACGAAGTTTCGTTGCACCGCGATCTCTCGCATACGGTTCGTAAGAGCTGTTGCAATTCTAGCCGTGGTGTTGACAGTAGAGGCAAATGACATGCTGCCACCATTCAGCAGGCCCGTCAGACTCCAAGGGTCGCAGTAGTTATTCTCCCATCTTTGCCGCAAAGTATACACGGGTACATTTCCTCGGTAGTTGCATTGACCATCTAGGACTGACAAGATATTCTCTAGTGCCTGTCTTCCAAGTGACGAGGTCATGACGGTACAATTCGAGCTTGCGGGTATATCACGCTGCTCAGTCCCAGGGCCCTTCATCTGGACCTTGAAAGAGTCATCGTCGTACCCGATCGTCGTGGCCCTTGTAAGATCCAAGACCTCATCTCCCACCTGGCATGTAGGTTTCCAGAATGTGACATTCCTGTAGAGTTCAGCAGATGGCTCTGTGAAGAAACCCGGGCTCTCGGCGACGAGGGTCTCAGACAGCGTGCCCTGCTCCACGTCTACCTTGTGGTGCCTCATACACCAGTAAAACGAACACGTACCCGCGAAGACGTTGGCAATTACGTCACTTCCCCCAGAAATATCCAAAAGAATACCATTGGAGGACGGAGGAACGCATTTGCTGATGCGGCTCGTGTCGTTCTTGTACTCGCAACCATGTGGCGTAGCGGCAAGGAAGGTATGGTTATCAACGGACGCTGCTAAAACACTGAGAAAGTCCTCGTCAAAGTCTTCTCGGGCCCATTCAATGCTGTACTGCTTCACCGAGAAAAAGTTGGCTCGAGCGGTGCTGCTGTCCGTAAAGTTGGCTACCTCCGGAAGTCCAACGACGGTGCTCTCGTTGACTGTCAATTCTCGGATGTAGTGTGTTGTATCAATACACTTTGAGCAGATACCCATGGTGGAAAGGGATACGTCCCCGATGATGCTTGGAAACGAGCAGTTACCAGTCGTGCAACCCTCCAAGAGTGTCGATGGGTTCACGTTTATTGCACCTGTGGATGCACCAATGACGGCACTGGCGAAACCTGGTTCAGTGATGTAGTTCCCAGCTCCAACGCGACTGGTTGGGACCCCTGAATAGGTGTAGGGGAGTTTTGCTTGAGCATTGGGGACAGGCTTGTCGCAGATTCTGGTCCCCACAGCTTGTTGAGAAAAGGGACCGACGCTAATGGAGAGCAGCACTAGGAGGCATCCGATGTACGAGTACGAACTGGCGCGATTGTGTTAGTCCTGCCTGATTGGTGATAACCAGAGGTGATAGGATTACTTACAACCATGCACGAAGCCTGGCAGGAAGCAGGATAGAACCCCAAAGTCCTCTGCTGGCTTGATCGATATGGCTCAGATGACGAACAGGGCGAGGTGTAAGTTGCCAGATCCATTTATGCTGGCTGATAACTAGAGACTCGGTGTTAAAAAATCGTGGATGGTCGGTTGAGGGTGCTCTGGGCTCTCACCTTCTTCAACTATGCCAAGGATCATCGCTCGGAGAACCGCCGAAAGAGTAGCAACAAGGGCATTGAGGCTCATCCCGGAAAGTGACCAATACTCGGTGTTTTGGCCGTGGTTGCGCTGGAGAACTCCAAATATTGCTCCGAGGAGTCCACACGACACGAGTAGAACAATGGACTGCATCCGCCATTCCCAAAGTACCGTCGAAATCCCCGTAGGGCCTGCTTCCGCTGTCTTCTTTTGCATTTTCTTCGTACACTTGCTAGTGTTGTCGTGCTTTCCAACGCTCGGAACATCCTACGAGAAAGGACGTGGGAATTTCGAGCTTGAGGAGGGACGGGAGGGCCAGATAAAGGATCTTTCGTGCGATGGGGCAGCGTGGAGAATCATGTTGTCGGTGGATGGACTGATGCCCGGCTAAGCTGTGCGCAGAGGGAGGCTTGTCTCGCCTTGGACCCAAGTTCTTGGACCAAAGTTCCTTTTTTCCATGGCCGAAGTTCTAAATTTATCTTCAACTCCACACGGGATGCCACCTACCCTATGTGTGTCTATCAGCCTTCGAACTTGAGAAATGCGAGGTCATTCTAGCAACTGCTTGAAAATGGACAATAAATGACACACCATGAAATACAGATTATTCTCCAGACTAACTATAAAAATTGGTATCCCTTTGTAGAAGAAGATAGACGATATGGAGACGCTGGTGGCTAGGACCTAAATGACGGGGAATCGTTAAAGAATAAGCTGGAATGGCATCTCGGAACTTAAACGAATTAAACTATTCATGAGATTGATAGCCAAATGCCTCTCCTAACTTGCTGTTATACTATATGGAACTCTTCCGAACTGTAATCACCGCCGAACCCTTCTCCATTCATGAACCCATGCAGGTAGGCTTCGCCTCGAAACTCGTACGTCTTTGCCTGACCTGGGACTTTTCTTGACGCATTCGACACTTCCCTAAGGATATATGCCGTCTTTCCGCCTTCAAAAACCACCACGGCATCTCCTCTACCTATCCCCCAAGGACCCCATCCTGCGTAACCGTTTTTCGTGGTGAATACCCGACGTCCTCCTGCCGGCCATGAAACGCCTTGGTGGTAGGCCATGGCCATGGCGGCTTCCTGCGTCTGCGAGCCATCTTCGGGGACTCTCGAGGTCTCAAATGAGAAGGTGGCAAACAGGCTCCGCCACATGGGATATGCCTTCACAAGGTCGAGCTCCTCCTCTGCTCCCTCCTGAGCTGTTTTGTCATACAGGCGCAGCGGTACTCGAATCTTTGCGTCAAGCGCCATTGTCCTGGCGAGGACAGAGCGAATTTCTTCTCCTGTAGGGTACGTCTTGAGATTCAGGATGAGGAGCTCGCAGAAACGCATGCGTTTCGTTTGAAAGGTGTGCAATATGGGCTGTACCGCCTCCAGCGGCTTGCCAGACAGGCTGTTGCGATCGGGTCTGTAGATGCGATCACTTGAGCCGAGGCGGTGGCCTACGGCACTGACGAAATCCAGGACGACGCCTTTTATAACGAGACTCCTGCCGTCAGAACCAAATTGAAAAGAAGGAGAGGTCTTCCCGTTTGCCTGGAATGCGTGGGAGAACCGTTCGTCGAGCGTCAGAAACGGAGCTGCGTAGCGATGAACAGCCCAATTCGGCACCCATGAGGGCATGTCGGTCCGCTCTTTCCAATCCGTGTCCTCGACGTGGCTCAGGATGTCCAGCGACTCCTTCATAATCGACTTGGCAACGTCGAGATATACTTGCGCGTACGGGATTCTGTAATCGATTTCCACCTCGTGCGAGGCTGCCAGGCCCAGCAATCCGTACACTTTGTCGTGAGGGTCTGTGGCTAGCGATCGTCGGAACAGTCCCAACAGCTCGAGAAGGGGAAGTGGTCGGCCGGAACGATGGGCATGACCAAGGAAGCCCAGTCGATAGGCGGGGGAGACGTCGAGATTGTATGTCCCCTCCAAGTTACGCAGGCGCAGAAACCGAATAATCCAAAGAAAGTTCTCCCAAGAAATGGTCTTGTTGGCGCAGAGGACGACGGAGTGTCTTGCCAGCGTGATCTCCTGTACGATCCATATCCTCACGAACCAGGGCCGCCAAAGCAGAGCGTCTAGAGTTTTCCACTCGGGTGCATCGGCCGGGGGCAATCCGTAGTCGGCAAGCTCATTTTGCCAAACTTGGATTTCGTTCGGGGGGATCTTTCTCTTTGACTCCTCAAGGCGTTCCATGAGGTTCCATGCCTCGGTAACTTCTTTCCCCCCGTCTCCAAGCCACACGACGACGATGGAGGCGCGGCGGTAGATCTCCTCCATCAGGCGAACCTGCGAGCTGCGTTCATCGATGTCACCCTGGTTGATGCACACGGCATCGATCCACATCACTTTCTTGTTCGAGGTGTGGCGAATGTGATGGAGCGCAGTCCACAGATTCACCGTAACCTGCAAGGTTTTCCCATCGCAAGAAATGTATTGAACAACCGAGGGATCGCCCCAAGTGTACGAGAGAGCTTCGTAGTGGAAGGGATCAGCGTCGTTGAAGGACCGCGTCACTAGCTTGCACTCGATATTGGACCCGTCTGTCCCTGGGAGAATATGAAGAAGCCGAATCTGCCCGTCTTCTAGGCCCGTGTATTGATACCACTCGCTCTGGCTATTGAAAGATGGGGTTAGGAATTCTCCATGGCCAGCTGGATTGATCGCGGAGAGGCTGACCTGGCATCTTCTGCGGCTGCGCACTGCTGGTCGCGAACTTGCTGCTGGTATTTTTTGAGCCGGTAATCTGGATCGTTCATTCTCCTGATATATTTCCTGTGGCCAAAGCCTAATATTAGCCTGACTCTGCTGTTGTGTCCAACCGCCAGTTAAGGTTTTCCGGAACGGATTGAAGACTCTTACAATGGCATAACCTTATCTATCTTGACTTGGCCGAATTTCATCAGCCCCAGCTGTAGGCCGAAGTACTTGTCAATTGCATCCGATGGTATTTTAGGCATTTTGTAGAGCGATTTTGACGGAGAACCATCGTGGTGATGTGGTTGTTTGGGGGAAATTACCACCTAGGTAGGTAGTCAGATGGTGGCTGGCGGTTAGACGAGCAGTTATTAGCGTCTTGGCCCCTGTACAGCGTGCCACCGACAACGTAATCAGGTCCATTAATCCTTCGCACTCTTGGCACTCCAGAAATCAGAGAAGTCTATCGCCGCTCTTCGTGTCGTAGAGGATCGAAATATTACCAAGCATGAATATGACATTGCCAATTATGTCATTGTCCCACGAGATAGAGTTAATACAGCGTTTTTAACTCTATGTAAGTCGAGAAGGGTGACATGGAAGAACACACCTGGGCAGCAAGTCAGTGCCATACTGTAAGGCCGTGCCTAGCCTGCGCCAAACCTGAATTACCTGAATAAAACGATTAAAGATATCAATATTACAAAATGCCAAAGAACCCTCAAAAAGCCTGGGACTTACCATTCCCTGATATCAGAGTGGCCGGAGATCAGAGAGGCCGGAATAACGCAAGCCTCTTCTCTGAATAATCAGCATATTGGGGGGTGAGGGGGAAATGCGAACCACGTGCGGCTGCGTGCGGCTCACTATCGTGAGGCGTCCACTGAGAGTGTTTTTTTTTGGTTGAAATAGCACACGGACAAACAGCACCGGATTGCTCGACAAAAAGCTTCACAACAAGACCTAAAAGCACTTTCGGCACTAACCTGCAAGTGGCAGTTACAAGATACCTCAATAACCTAACTACGAAGATGTGCTACCAAGTCGTCGAATTATATAGTGCCTGCAAGTGCTTGTACTATAAACACCCCCTCGATCGTTGTGTCGCCTATGGCAAGAAGGGCCACTACACCGAACAACGTACCATCTATGTCGGCTACGCTTGTCGAATTCATAGCCAATCCCAATCAGATGGTCTCCCAATCGACAACAGAGGTCACACGCCAGTCAAGGATGTGCCAATTTCAACCCCGAGGTCTATCCCAATGCCCACGGATATCCATACTGAAGTCGCAAGTAACCCAATTGACAAAGGCAATGCTGAACCGTCCAAGAATCGCTCAATTACAGATTTTGAGCCCGTTCCAGAAACGACTGCTGCGGCGACAAATACCGATGTCCTCCAGGAGCTGGTCTGCGATCTTCTGGTCCACAACAACAACCGTCATCTTTGGCCGCAAATAGTGGAGCTTGCTGGTGATCAAGCTCAGGTTATCTTGAAGGAGTTTATGGAACAGTTTGCTCAAGATGTAGATAAGAAGGTTTTAAGGACGAGAATTACAGTCCAAGGTTTAAGCAAGGCGGCCTCAAAAACGAAAATCAGACGTGCGAGCAGATATATTCTGCAGCAAGCATCCGATCTCGCCGCTCGAATCGAAAGGGCCAGTCTTGCCTCGTGCTCCAATACAGTCGTCTCCATGGATGAAGCTGCTCAGAACGAGGATGATATAAAGGAGAGGACCGGAACCGTTGAATTGGGCTTTCCCCAGTATCGTTACATCCATCGGTTGGTGTTTGAGAAAGGACCAAATTCGAATGAGAGCCAGGAACCAATCCTCAATCTTGAGAACAACTTGCGAGAGTGGGTGCTGCAAAAACGTCCCCCGGTTAATCAGGCGACCAGAATCTACCAAAGCATTGCCAATGTGTGCGATTCTTTGTCGGAATCCTTCACATCGTCTTTCAAACCGGAGCCCCCATCAACCATTCTTCGATATCAATGTGTAGGTCAGAACGGCTTGAAAAGTATGTTCATCTCATCACCTGCACACGGCACTAATGAGCATGCGTAGCACTGTGGCCGTATTGTATCCGACAAATATGTTGAAATGAGTCCCGGCTCACTGGCAAAATTCAAAGCAGAGTTGGAGGCGTATGGAAGACCACCAAACGCTTGTCAAGATCAGGACAACAACGTGCCGGTTTCTACCACAGGGTCCGTAAGAATGGTCAGCGGTGTGCTTTCGGGTCTGTGGAAGCAACTCAGGCGCCCTAAGAACACACCAATTGATCGACTTCCCTCCCATCATGCTGGCGGCATCGTTCTAGAAGAATTTGGTTGTCCGGCCCAGCCTCAACGTCCACAGGGGGATCATGCTTATCTCCTTCTATGCCTCCCATTCATGAGATTGGCGGTAAAATTACGCCAGGATGAGGTCTGTCGCCTCAATTCTGACCGCGATTTCTTCTCCTTCTTGCGCTCGTCGTACGAGGCAGCCCGACAAAGGAAGGCTTGGCCATGGATGCGGCGGGTCAGCACCATCGATTTTACGAGATTTGAAGTATTCGACAATAATCTAGTAAATATCCAGCACAAACCTTCACTACCTACAGGACAATACCTACAACAATATAACTTTGAGCCACTGGAGGCAGACGTTATTCCACCCATCGGACCAAACTTGATGATGCACTATTTCGAGCATCCGGACCACGCGGATGTGATTCCAATTCTGTTCAAAAGAATCCCAAAGAAGCTAGGCGAAAAGCTGTCAGCTTGCCCCGTCAAGAAAAGCTCTGTCGGATGGGGCTTGCACCTCGTTGAGGGAGCTGACCCTTTTAAGATATTCTGCTTCGGGCTGGGCGCTTTCGCCATTGCCCTTGTTGTGGCCCTTGCGTGGTCTATCATCAAGAGCGATGTCCAGGGTGGTTTTGCCATTTCTGTTTTTGTACTCAGCTTGTTACTCTTTGTCGGCAATGCGGGTAGGACTATCATGGCGTGATTCTGGTGAGGAATAAGTGAGAATTAAACATGCCTATTTAGGCCAGGTGGTTTAGGACCCAGGCCCGTCATCGCCGTGTAGAGCATTTGGACCAGACAGAAGAAGGCCAACAAGCCGAGCGAGGCGAACCCATGGAGCTCTATTTTGTTCCGATATCGAGGATGAAGAAGCGCTGATTAAAGGCACACATGGTCGATTGAAGATGGTCATGGCGAGCGCCCCTCTCTTTTGATCGCGCGTCAAGGAGTAGGTGTGTAGGGTCTTGTTCCACTCCCCTCCCGCGGACCCAATCACGATTGCCCCAGAACTGGCCCTTCGGGTCGTTGCGGTAATGAGTTACAGCCAGGGTGGTGGACTATCGATTTTACGAGATTTGAAGTATTCGAAAATAATCTAGTAAATATCCAGCATAAACCTGCACTACCTACGGGCTAATACCTGCAACAATAATACAACTTTGAGCCACTGGAGGCGGATGCTGTTCCACCCATCGGACCAAACACGAAGTTGAGTCCAAATCCTCTGCCTTCCATATATCTCTTCCACAGTATCGCGTCAGCACCAACATCTGCTGCATCACCTTCTCCAGAACTCCCACTATTCTCATTAGTGAACGTTCCAGATTGAAGGCCTGCCCAGAACTCAGTTAGGACTCGAGCCCCAATCTCTAGAAGGATATACGAATATATTTTAGTAACCATCCCTTCGTGGGGAGAAGAAGGATATAAAGGTATTCAGTTGAAGCCTGGCTGATTGTCTCAAGCAACGCTCGGAGCGCCTGGCGCGGATGGTTGAGGGGTTTCGGAAAGCCGCGCTGGAATGTGTTACTTGGCATTTGAAGCACTTTGGGCCGCCTTTTTGTTCTCATCTTGCACATCAACGGACAACTGCCGGTGCTTCTCTGCTGGCCCTGGAATAATCTGAAACGGAAGACCCAAGCCCAACCATTGTTCCAGAGGGTTGAAGTTGAGACGTCATCGAATCCAGTGGCCAGAGCCTGTCTGAGGTTCTCGGGGTCGCAGATCTGGAGGCATCGGGAAAGAAGACATATAAGGTTTGGTCTTCCAAGTAGAATCGCTGTAATTGTGATGGAAGTTCTGTCATTCTTGGAAATGGCAAGCTGGGCCGCTTCAGGGCTGGGCGACTAGTGGGTTGGCCCAAATGTAGGGGACGGACCGGGCACGGCTGGCCTTCAGAGTATAGCAAGCATTTCCCATTCGTGTTCTTAGACTGCTTATGAGGTCCGTCTTGTAGAACGTGGTGTTCTTCGTGACTGCATCCGGGGAATCCACGATTGTTCCGCATAACCAGACGAGGGTATAGTGCTCCGGTTGCACCAGTGCTTTGCCCTAATGAAGAACATTTGCCCACTCCTATTCAACTCTGATGACGTGAAGAAATGACTGTCAATTCTTCGTACGCGAGGCCTTCGAGGGTTTCGTTGTCGAATTCGGGGCCTTCGTCGTCGCTGGGTGACTCATGTCACTTAGGTAGGTACCAGAAGAGGCGGAGGGATTCATCGTTTTTCTTGCGTCGAGGCCGCCTTTGCTCCCGGCTCTTTTGAGGACTTTTGATAAGTTGATAGTAGATACCCCCCATCGCTGTTGGCACCTTCGTGAGGCGGGGACTCGAACAACAAGCATCAATGCTATTCGCTTTGTAAATCGCTTTTGGCTGGGCGGTGTGGCTGAAGATCTCTTCAACCAAGCACGTCTTGCGCTTTGAGTTCAACCAAGAGAAGGATTGGTGAGTCCGGGCTGATCAGAACTATAAAGCGAATTCAGGCTATTGTGTACCTGTTTGGCCGGAGGAGGAGGCTTAGGGATGGTGGTTGCCTCAGGAATCGACGGGCGGGGTCGATTTCCTGCATCGACGGGTCAAGGAAGGAGCTCCTCACGTTTCCCATCCTGGCAGTCTGGAGATTTGGTTGCCTTCCTCTCATGCAATTAAGTCGACGGGCAGTTTCATCGCTCGATACAGGCACCTAACCTTAAGCCGGCTGAACTTTGGAGAGTCGAAAATATCACTTCTACTTATCAGTGCTCTTGGACCTAGGTATTTTATTGACTTGTCCTAGCTAGGTTGCCAGCATTGGGCCTTTTCTTGAACGCAGAAGTACGCCTACTTCATGAATGCAAGCATCTTTCCCGTCCGTTAACATGTCTCTGCCTTTCACCGAACAGTGGAACGCAATTCATCCCAGGACCCAAAGGTATCCCCAAACAAAAAGTGGCTACATTCTCAATACCTATTAGATAGTTCTCTTGAAAAGTAATAGATACTTCCTAACATACCTTTCTTTTAAGTAGTCCATACCATCAGGCCCCTGCTGGGCACCTCGGTACTCAAGCGGGTGCTAGTGCAGGTGTCGCCAGCCTCAAGGGTGATGCACGAGGCGCCATAGAGATTGAAGGAAGCCCACTTGCTGCCAGTGTTGGTCACAGTGATGGTATTGTCGTCGTCGTTCAGGACGGCGGTGCCCCAATTCGGGGCCGTGGCAGTCCAGGTGCTACCGCTCTGGACAAAGGAGACACTGGAAACGACACCGCAGCCCGCGCAGCCGCAGTAACGAGTGCACTCCGCGGCCATGGAGGCCGGGAGAAGGGCGAGGACGAGAGCGCTGATTCTCATTCTGGTCGTTTTGTTTATTGTTTTCTGTGGGTAAGACTTAGAGAGGATCTTGTATGTCTGGCTGAGCATGTATGTGTCTCGAGAGCTAGGCGTTTTATATTTTATAGTTCGCTGCCCTTTGCTGCCATTGCCTATCATAGAGAGAAGGTGGTACTCCATGGCTTATTAAGAATGAATAATCAGGTCGGAGGTCGCAATCCCGAACGCGATTTCAGGTCCAAGGTAACACTGTCGGTAGAACACCCGGAATTGTTTCAAAGATCCATCCGGCTACGTACGCCAAGGCCTACAAACGGGCCGGACACGGACGATCGACCGGGTGTTCAACTGTTACGGCTCTGATATGTCACGAGATTTACATCCACCCAAAGAGAAGATTGTGATTGAGTTAAGACTGAGCTGATAGGATGGCGTTCTTGAAGCCCAGCTCCAAGTGATGAAGCCGGGCTCAAAATTCATATTGCTTCACTTATCCAAATTATACACCATGACGGTTGTTTGAGGAGGTGATTCTAGTGCAGCAACATAACCCTGCTGTTAGTTCCTACTATTACCGACGATTTCCTAAGGGGCGGTGAAGTCAAGAAAAAATCTTGGTAATGGAGTCGCGTACGCATGAAAGTTGCGCTATGGGCTTTGGGATCAGATAACTGCGCAATGTCACCATCCTGGCCAGGACGTGGGGATGGGCTGATATTCGATGCTGCCAGCTACCGAGAAAGACTGGACCCCGGCGGCGGGTGGGATGTCAAAAATATCCTGGAGGCCTTTCGTATTGTCATTGCATATATGGAACATACAGCCGTAGAGGCAGCCAGGGTCAGTAGACCGCGGGCCGGAGCTTCTCACTCCGACCTGACCTCGCAAAATGACCCCTGGCAGATTGCCGGAATTGAGCCTTTTTATGCGCAATTGGAAATAGCCGGCGATGTCTTGAACAAGGAATCCTTTCTGTATTCAAGTCGAGCCATTTTGCATTTTACTTACTGAGGACGTGCGGAGCCGGCATATTCGCTGGCGTTTGCAATGGAGAAAATAAGCTAACACACCTGAGGGCTCACACCCTAGATTGCCTTGATTTTTTATGGCCTGATAGCTTTGCTCTCTCCTTCATCCGCCGCTGTGAAGTTTAAGTTAACAATCGCATATGCTGGGCAAAACAATGGGCTCAAGTAGCAAATAGCACCGATACGCCTAGCGATGATGCAATGTAAACAGCACATTCCAGTCACCATCTAGACAGTCCCATACAAGCCAGACAATAAGACATGCAATTCTCCGTTATGAGTATCGAAGTTGTACCACTCAATCTATATACTCTAAGCAAGGCATGGAAAATAACATGATTGTATTACCTACGTATTAAAGAGATTGATTACCTGACCTTACATTCTGAGGGGCAATTGCGAGCTATTATTATGCCAGGCAATCCCCTAGCGTCTTCACATCACTTGGCCTTCACATTTCACAAGCGATGGATTGGTTTCTCCACCCAGAACTATTCTGACTTTGGTTGATGTCCATGCTAGCTCGAGATAGAGTGTCTGCCGGTTGACACAGGCTGCATAGAGGCGAACGAATGTTTCCTAACTGGGTAATCAGATGTGACTAGTGCTTACATCCCTGGCAGCATATTACAACACGCTTGTTCTTGAGCCTTTCTACTCGAGTGCTGTTTCAAGGCCGCTTGGGCATATATAGGCCAGCCTTTCTTTCAAATGGCCAATTGATTTTCTTTTGATACACTAGAAAGATTGTAAAACCGCTCATTGCTCTCCCCAATCTGCTCAATTGACTATGGACGACAAGCCGGCTATTGTGCTCTTCAGTGGTGGCTGGCACACACCGGAGACCTACATCAAACTGACGAAAGCACTGGCTGCCGCTGGCCTCGACGTACACTGTCCCAGAAATCCTTCCACCCATCAAATACGTCCGCCGACGTCGAGCCTCGCCCACGACTCGGAGAACATGCGCAGCTATGTATCCAAGCTGGTTGATGGAGGCCGTCGAGTTGTCGCCCTGGGCCATTCTTACGGCGGACAGGTCATGACGAACTCTCTCTACGGGTTGGGTTTCGATGCTCGCAAGGCGAGAGGTTTGGTGGGAGGAGTCACTGATTTGATCTATCTTTGTGCATTCGCCTTGGAGGAGGGCGGTTCCAGTGTGTATATCCTTACTTCTCTACTCCTACTTCTCTCATTAACCACAACCCCTTTGGCAGTGTTCAGCAAGGTTAAAGAAATGGGGCACGAAGGATTGATGCCTCTCGCTTTTGACTTCGCAGACGACATGACCGTTCTTGCGCGCGACCCGAGAAACCAGCTTGTTGGCCAATGCTCTGACGATTCCGAGGTGGAAGAGTATCTGAACAGCCTCGTACTTTGGAACGGGCAGTGCATGTATGATAAAATCGAGTATTGCGCCTGGAGAGAGATTCCCGTCACGTACATCTACACACTCAGCGACATGACGACGCCCCTCGATTATCAGAAGTCGATGGTGGCAGTGATGGAAGCAGCAGGTCGTGTGGTGAAGACGCATGAACTGGCCACGGGACATTGCCCAAACCTCACGGCTACAAAGGACGTCGTCGACATCTGTGGGGAGGTGGTAAAAGCTCGACGATTGTAGGGAAGGTTCCGAATTGTTCATCTTGCAGTTTTTCAATTATGTCGGGTGTATATACTCATAGAAACAGAAAGATAGGATGCTGCTGAGGGTAAAAGGGCACCCTTGTTGCCCCTCCACTAGGTCCAACTTTGATATCATAAAGGTTCGAAGGCATCGTTGAACTTCCTTGCCAGGAGAGAGTGGCGAGGATAATCATCGTGTCATTCATACAGCCATCCACTCGCCCTTCCCTTCATCCAGAAACAAGGCCATGCTTCTTCGTTTCCGTCTCTGTCCATCTCTTCAGTTCCACGGCGAGTTTCATATATTTGGCTTTCCCAAATGTATTCCTAGCTTCGCAATTCTTACGAACCAGACTTCGCTCTGACCTGCTTCCATTTTCCGGGCATGCCGCGCAATGGACGGATGTCCAAGCACCTTCGTCGCCAGGCCACATTCCTCCTGCTGCTTCGATAATACGTCTTAGAAATTTCACAGAAGAAACGGCAATAGTCGTTATATGAATATCCAGTGTGCAAGATAGTTGGTCTACCACTGATCTTCGTGTCCGTCGTCGGTAACATTGAAGCTTGTATGACGTCGTCGCCATTGATGGCACCTCTCATTTTCCCGAAACCCGCCGGTTTGGGTTTGTAAGATCCAGAGATTTGGCTCGGTGAGATGTGTCGGGCGTAATTAATAGATACGATGAATGTAGCCTGATCAATTAGATTTAATCCCAGAGACTCGGGAGGATCTCCGTCTTCAGTTGTAGCAGGATGCGCGCAAGGACGCAACGTACCGGAGATCTCAAGAATCTGACCAACCAGTACCATAATGCTAAAGACTAACTTTTTTCAAAATATCGCCGTTTTATCTAGGCAGTCATCAGGATGTCACTATTTTCTCACTCTATTTACATCCAGTCTCAGTTTTGACCGACATGTGAGATAGCCTTAGTGACTAGCAGGATGAGGACAGGGTGCCACCTTGAACAACACCTACGAAAAATAATGAATAAAAGGGTTTCCAAATCTATAAACTTACAAATTTTCAGCTGCCTGCTGTGTAATTCTTCATTCAGGGCACATAAACGAGCGAGCTCTACATATGCTCACCTTAGTTTACCAAGGTACAGGGTAGGTTCAATGTTGGCACTCCCTGGAGACATGGATGTGTTTATTCGGATGCCTCCAGTCTTGGCATTTAGATCTACCGGCTTGGCTCTTGGCACATGGTACTACATGTAAGTAACAACTCCGAGTGGAATCAGCATCCATTGGGCTTCTCTTCATTTACCAATTGAACATTGACACGGCCAATTGCTGTGCGTAGCTCGTATCCAGCCAGTCGGATCAGCCACTCTTCATCGCTTCGCCCCTGTGGCGTCATGGTTCTCAAACCTAACCCATCAGCATTATCTCCTAGCTCTTTAGACAGGCAAACGTGAACTTGCTCCCCAATCCTTCTTCAAGCCGTTCCCCTAGCACCAAACACTAGATAGATAGGCCGGCAACATTGCCTGATTCATGACACACCTCACGAACCCGCTGACCCACTTGGCGACGCACCAGATATTTCTCAAGTCTTCATGTATCCCAGGCATCTGCAGAAGCGTAGTATTAAAGGAGAAGAACATACATTTTCGACCATCCCATCACTAATAGTAGTAATAATAAATCCTAGGGTAAATCTCTACTCTCCCGATCAACATCATCGTTGCTCCATGGATAAAATGCTTGTAGTATGAAGACAACTGGCAGGCTAAACAAATGGTTACACATCAACCCCCCCTTCAAATCAAAATCAAACAGGCTCCGTTCTATTTCTAGGTCCCCGCTTAACAAATCCCCTACAGCATGAGCATGGCACCGCCGAAGAGGGCGGCGACGAAGACGAGGGTGTCGGGGCTGAAGACGCCGTTGGCGGCGGAGCTGTCGTTCTTGGTGGTGCTGCTGGTGGAGGTGCCCGAGTTGTTGGTGTTGGAGGAGGAGAGGGCGATCTGGGTGCAGTTGCCGCCGCTGGTGTCGGCGGTCTGGGTCTGGGCCTTGCCGCTGAAGTCGCAGGCGGTGGATGCCTTGCTCTGCTTGACGTAGTAGGCGTTGAGGACGTAGGCGAGCTTCTCCGAGTCGGAGCACATGCTGAAGGCGCCGTAGACGCCCGTGGTCGCGTTGCCGTTGACGCCGGCGCAGAGGGACGAGTCCTTGCCGCAGATGTAGTCGAACATGTCCGAGTAGTCGCTGCTCGAGGTGCTCGACTTGACGACGCAGGTGGCGGCCTTGACCATGCAGCTGCAGGCTGACTCGTTGGGGGTGGGGGGCAGGTTGGAGTTGGCCTCCCAGCTGGAGCCGATGGTCGGGCAGCTCTGGGCGCTGTTGGTGTTGGTGTAGCTGGACTCGCTGACGCCGGTGGGCTCGGCGGCTCGGAGCTTGGTCTGGAGGGCCTTGTAGTTGGTCATTGTCTTGGTGTCGTCGCTGCTGACCTTGACCAGACCTGGGAGTTTGTTAGTGTCTGAGTTCGCGATCGCATCGGTAGTCTGTTATATATCTTACCGTAATCGTTCTCCTCCTCAAAGTATTGGTAGACGATACCACCGTTGACGACGTCGCTCATGTTCTTGGTGTACAGCGCAGTGGTCTCGTCCCACTTTCGGCCCTCAGCTCCGCCCTGGGTGTTGCAACCATACTCGGCGAAGAAGACGGGGACGGAGTAGTTCTGGAAGGCCTCGATGAAGCGGTTGTAGCCGGACTCCTGGAAGGTGCTGGTACCGCACCACGAGTAGATGTTGTAGCCAAAGAAGTCGATGGCGCTGGCAGAGTCACCACAGTTGAAGTAAGCGGAGAGCTCGTCACGGATTGCCTCGTCGTCATTGGCAGCGTAGCCGACACCCATGGAGCGGTAGCTCTTGTTCTTGATGTAGAGCTTGGTGTCACGGACAGCAGCCTTGACGTAGGCAGAGGCGCCGGTGTTGTTGGCCTGGTTGCTGACCTCGTTACCGGCGAAGAAACCGATGACATTGGTGTAGTTGGCGAGCGAGTCCACGACAGCCTTGTAGCGGTCGTAGAGGTCGTTGTTCCACAGAGGGTCGTTGCGGTTGATGGAGAGGGTAGGCTCACTCAGGTCAGAGATGACGTAGATGCCGGCATCATTCAAGAGCTGCATGCAAGTGGTGTGGTCGGACTTGGGGTTGATGGCATAGGTTCTGATGGTGTTGATGCCAAGAGCCGACATGAGGGGTACATCCTTCTTGCAACGGGCAGCGTCGGCGAGAGGGTCAGTGTAGTTGGAGCTGGTCGAGGATCCCGACGCAGCGGAGTCCTGCTGGTATCCCACGCCCTTGATGAAGAACTGCGTTCCATTCTCGAAGAAGAACTTGGAGCCCTGGAGGAGGTGGAGGAGGTGTCAGGGCGAGACGACATAGGATTGATTAGAACAGGAAGAGAATACGGTGCCACGTACCTTGATTGAGATGGAAGGCAGGTTAGCAGCAAGAGCACTGCTGGACAGCGCGAGCGCGGAAAGGGCAAGCTTTAGGGTAGTCATTGTAACGAGAGATTTTCTATAAGTATCAAAAGAGTGTACTGGTTCAGGGCTGCATGCAAGGCAAAGGGAAAATGGCGCGATTGCCGTCTGGGAACGACAGCGAGAAGCAGAGAGGGTCAACGAGTGTGGGTGGTGATGAACAGGAAGCAGAAATCAGTCCTAGGAAACAGCAGACTTGGGAAAAGGTCAGGACAGAGGCGCGGCAGTGGGAGGGGCCGGAAGGGGAGCGGTTTTAGCAGCGCGGCCACGCCAGCTTCACCAGATGCGGCCATTAAGGGGATGCGAGTGCGTGTGCGTGAGCCACTGCGGTACGACGCTTGCGTGGTGCCATGGTTGCGCCCCTGGACTCTGGACGGACATGACACACGGCAGATCGGCTCACCGGCATGATGATGATGAAGCTACACGCAATCCAGCCAGGTCCGGTCCACATTAATGCCCCCAGATCGAGGGTCCAACGGCGGGACAGTTAATGAATGGTCGGATATCCGGCGCAGCCAGGCCCAGAAGGGACGCAGACCTGCCGTGACACCGGCCCTTCATGCAGGGACGCAGTTGGATGACCAGGATCAGGCGAGCCCCTTCCAATAGTTGGCTGGCGATGGCGGTTTGGAGGCCGCCCGGTCATTTGCTGCGCACTTAGCTGGTGATATATAGATGTTCTAGTCTGCCGGTAGTGCGCCGTCGGGGCCCATCGCCCTACCCTGGGGCAGCCTCAATTGTCAGGAGCATGTAGGAGGACTAAGGAGGTAGAGCAGTCGGTCAGTTCCAAGGTGCATCGACGCATCGCCAAGCATTATCGCTGGTTGCGTGCAGACGGTCTTGGCGATGAATCGCAGCAGAAACGAAAGATTTTCTCCAGATTGGCGCCTCGGTCTAGGCCGGATTGAGCCATCCATCGCCCCACTTACGCGCACCACGAACCAGGAACATAAATGACCCGTTCTTCTGAAACATACACGCACTCCCACCCGTCGACGATCCAGGAAGTACATACGCATCGCAGCAGATCACGAAATGCAGCAAGGCAGTGCTGGGAGTTCTGGATCAAATAATTGCCAATGAGAGACGACGTCGTGTTTGGGTCACAAAACCCCTATTCCGGGAGGCATCCAATACGGCCTCGAAAGGCCATTCGTGTCAGGTAGCCCGCACTGGAACGTCCATTGTCACCAAACTGGGCCTTTTCGACCATATGGAACTATGACTTCTTCTTCATCTCGTGAGGCAATCCAGATCATCAATAAGACCAATTTACTGCTTCAGACTATCGATCGGAAGCGTTGGTTCCCGCTACACCAAGGCAAATAAAACCTTCTAGAAGACTCTCCGCTAGTTGATGATGCACACTGGCGCGGCCCTACGAAGACTTTGGCCCCTCATCTGACTATTCCTGTGTCATTAGAAAACGATATAGCAGTCGAGACTCGCTCAGCTCCCCATCCTTTCTCAGCCGTCTCCAGTGCGCCGCAATACTCCCCGTAGGAGATCTAACCGGCTATTTCCCCTCAACAAGACCCAACACATTCTTGAATCGTTTGACCATGCCCGCCTCGGACGTTACACTAAGAAATGGGGATGGGGGCTTTCTTCATAGCGAGAATTTCCAGCTCACCGAGAACCTGCGACTCTACTTCCACTCCCTGACGGGCTCTGATGGGGAACAAATCCAGGACTCGCCACTAGGAAGATGTTAGGATACATGCAGGTAGGATCGTGACAAAACTACGCAGCAACCCGAGTGAGTTGGGAGCGATTGAGGTAATGAACTAATCTCGACATGGCCTAGTACTGTAAATCAGAATGTATACGAGCTACCCCCTGCGTTCGTATTGCGATCCAAATAATCCAACGTGGACACGATCATCTTACTCTGCTGGACACTTCAGTTCCGAGTGGTCGGTCACCGTTTTATCCGTCAAGGTGCCATGCCGAAATCCGAAAACTGAGGAACGAGTTATGAGCTCCATCATTTTCCCCTTTCCGGTGGTGAGCCATCCTATACTATTACTATACTCGCCAATGTGGAAGATCAGAACCACTCAATTTCTATATTGAACACTAGACTGCTACATCGGAAACGCGATACTACTGAATACGCGGGCCTAGACCAATCCAACCTCTCTAGCCTTGATCTGCAGAGCTAAAAGGGCAGAAAAGTATCGACAAAGCAACAGGTTGCCTCCCATGAACCAAAAGCCCGGGTGGCCGCTGGGACGCCACATCGTGCGGAACTCACCCTCATGATCGAGTCCCCAGACGTCCTGTAGCCGGTCTGCAATCTCGTCACCGAAAATAACACGCGACTGCGTCCTCATGTTCTGGTAGCCAGTCGCAAAGATCACCTCGTCAGCTGGCAGAACCGTCCCGTCCGTCAGCCTGAGGCCATCCTCCGTCACCTCGTCGACCTCCTGGCCGTGCTTGATCTTGATCTTGCCGTCGATAATCAACTGGCTGGCGCCCACATCGATGTAGTATCCTCCTCCACGCTGGTAATACTTTGCAATCAGCCCCCCAAAGTCGGGTCCCTTGTCAACCTTGAACCCAGCCTTCTGCAGACCCTCGAGCAGCTCCTTGTCTTCCTCGTGCTGGGCAAGAGCCACATCAATCTGCGCCCTCTTCGACAACGGCCCGGGGAGACTGAGGTTCAGCACATCCGCATCATCAACTGGCGGGCTGTTCTCGCTATACAGCTCCCCAAGGGCAATGGTAGCGGACGAGTACGAGGAAATGACGCAGGTAGAGGAACGTTGTAGCATGGTGACCTCGTAGCCGTTCTCGTAGTAGTCCTGCGCGATGTCGTGCCCCGAATTGCACGACCCGACAACAACAGCGCGCTTCCCTTTGGATTCGGGCTTGGCCCCTGGGAATTCGGCGCTGTGGCAGAGCAGACCCTTGAAGCTTTCCATCCCCTTGATCACGGGGATGTTCTTCTTCCCCGAGTGTCCTGTCGCCTGGATGACGTGTCGAGGGTGGAAGGTCCGTGTTTCCTTCTTGTCGCCCACCTGGCGCTCAACCGTCACGGTCCAGTGCCTCTTCTCCTCATCCCAGGACGAGGAGATGAGCTCCGTCTTCGTCCACACGTTAAGTTCCAGGAGGCTGGCGTAGGACTCGAAGAAGTCTCCGAGCTTATCCTTGGGCGTGTAAACAGGCCAGTGATCGGGGAAGTGCAGGTACGGGAGGTGATCGGACCACACAGGGTCGTGGAGGATGAGTCGCCGGTACCGGTTCCTCCAGTTGTCACCAACGCGGTCCTCCCTGTCGATGACGAGCGTCTCGACCCTGAGCATCTTGAGGCGGGCAGCGGCGGACAACCCAGCCTGGCCGGCGCCTGCAGAATAGTGTTAGCACTCATATCGGTCCATCATCCTGTCGGTTATGGATGAGGGCAGCGATTAAGCATACCGATTATCAGCACTGCGGGGTCCTCCTTCTCGACGTTCTCCTCCCTCTGACGGTTCTCCTTCCACGTGGGATTCCCGCCCAGGCCGTCGTGCTCCTTACCGTGCGGTCGCCGACTCCCGCGGGGCTCCTCCAACCCCTTAAGCTCCTGCAGCACAGTGTACAAGGTGAGAATCTTCCACTGCCCGTCGACCCGCGTCAGGCGAAACACCCCCTGCCCCCTGCCGAGCTTGGTGGCGACGGTGACGAAGAAACGGACCACTTTGATGGTCTTGTCCACGTCCATGGTGGCCAGCTGGGGGGCGCGATGGGGCTGCGAGCGATCGATCTCGACATGGCTGATGCGCCATTCCGAGTCGGCGACGAAGCGGGAGATGTTCGCGCCGCCGTTGATGGTGCGGTAGTCCCACGAGAGGCAGAGGTGGTCTCGCCAGGATGAGGAGTCGAGAAACAGATTGGCGAGCGACTCGGTGTGTTTCTCGTTCAGGGCCCGGTTGAGCCTGTCGACGATGGAAATGGCCGCTTCGTCTGGGTTCACGGAGGAGGTGTCGAAGATGGCGGGGAAGGACGCGGCGGCGATGTTGACGGACCCCGTTTCCACCCTGTTGTCCTCGGGGAAGTCTGGCCCGTACGGCGATGACATGATGGCTATTTCTTACTGTCTATGTAAGTGATGAATACAATTTTCTCAGAGAACAAAACACTATTTCAATCCAGACATGTGCATCTGCTTAAATAGCACCCCGCATCACTGGGCATCGTGAACTGGCAAGCTCCCCGACGCCGGACTCCAATTTCAAGGTGATGATCATGTGAGCTCCTGCGCTTCGGGTTGCCAGTCTGGGATGGGACATGCGGCCGACGAGATCTGTGGAAACAAAGTTAATCCTGCATCCGCTCTCATTGGACGTATGGCGAGCGACGATGCGCGGGGGAGGAAACTTGGGCTGGTTTTGGGCGCCCGACATGTTTCCTCAATGCGGCACTGAGCCAAAAGGGAACCGAAATGGATCCAATTCCCCGCATATCGCATCTCGCTATACACAGCCTTAACCTTGATGGGCTGCGGTCGGGGAGCCATCGGAGGGGAAGCTGCATTGACTCGGGTCAAGTGTTCCCGGAGCCCCCACGCTGGGCTTGGAGAAGACGAATCAAGGGCGAGCTCGCTGGGCCTTGGCAGGTCGGAAGATTTCCCTTTTGTGATTCTGCCTACGAAGCTAAAGGCTTGCCTTTTGAGGCCAAGTGCTGTTTGCTCACTCGTTGCCTTTGTCCAGAAACATTTGGGGGGGAGGCTAACGCCGCCTCACAAAGAAATGCACCGTTTTCTGTCTGCTTTTAATCTAACATAGGTCGTGATTTAAACATAGAGCCGCCTTTCCGAATGTCTAGTAACACAAGGGTGATGAACCAAGCCCATTAAAACCGACCGGGCGCTTAATAAAGAGAGTTTAGAAATGAGATTAGACAATAGAAGGCTGTTCGAATTCTTTTTCATTTGAACCCTCAGAGATCTAAAACAGTGAATCATTTTTAGCTCCGTGTCATGTTCATGGTTCGCAAGGTTCAAGATGGCCTGCTTCAGCTATAAAAAAGCGCTGTTGCTCCCGAGGAACCAGACACTCTCCATAACCACCTTGCCGCAAACTCTTCACATTCAAAACTGCCTGGGATCCCTTGACCTTCTTTTCCAAATCGAGGAAAATTTTTTCTCTGTGTCTCTCGCAAACCATGGTTACATTCACGTCTTCTTCCGGGTCAGCACCCGCCCGATCCTCATATCGGGAGGAGTTGGCAAAGCTGAGGGAATCCAAAACCCTTACCAAGGAACTTATTCTTGAGTGTGTCGAGACTCTGTTGCCACAAGACCCCGTGTATACTTTGGCAGTAAAGAACTGGTATTTCCTCGATCAGAAATCGCGATCTTACCTCGCCAAGGCGTTAGGGTACGTTTACCAGCTGCAGGTCCAGTCTCGTTCATTCAAATCGATTTCCGAGACAAGTTCCTCGCGTCATGAAGGAAAACGAAGCTAACTTGAAAGTAGGCCGGACGAGGACTTCCCCTATATCAATGATCATCTGATTCTAGCCACGGAACCAACACAATCCAGTGGGGTCTATTGCCATTTCGAGGAGTTGGTTGCTTCCGGCATGCTCAAGCCTCCCAGCGGTTACACGAACTTGAACGACTCTGCTTCTAGTGATGCGGCTGTTAGAGCAGCGCCTAGCGAGATCCATCCCGCTGGCTCTTCTCATTCACCTGCCAAGTCATCCGTTTTCGCACCTCTTCCTCCCTCGCCTACCTTTTCCCCCGAGTCCCCAGGTATTTATTGGAAATCTCTTCCACCTACCCCCAATATTCACCCGCAGCCCGTAGGTGAAAACCAAAACACGAAGCCTGCCAGCGGAAACTTTTTTGGACAAAGAGATCCGTTGTCGTTCAGAGACCAGCACAGTATCACCGGCGTTAAAACCCCCGGTAAGGCGCAAACTGTCGCTTCTGGAGGCGGTCTCTTTGGCGCGCGTGAATCGTCCGGAACGAGTATCGCAAACCTTCCTTTGCCCGGAACGCCCCTGACACGCTTAGATCTTTGGTCATGAGAATTCTAGGCCTGCTAGCTCCAGCCAGAGGCTCGATTGAAACGAGGCAAGTCTAGGTATGGACTTGAGAGGAAGAGCTGTTGGTGGAAAGCGAAAAATCTGGCATTATGGCAGTGAATTAATGTCGGGCACTTTAATATTTGGATAGCACTGTGAAGTTTCGAGACTGGGGATAATCTGAAGGAGGTTTTGTGTATTTTCTGCTTAATATATGTATGCCTCTCAAGGAATATGGGGTGACATTGTTTCTCTGATGAGGTAGTTATCAACCAGAGTTTATCGCTGAATCGAAACCATTATTACCCTAAATGAGGTTAAGGGGAGAAGATCTGCCGCAAACCGATCTCATCATGGTCAAATATTAAGCCACGAGGCTTTCTTTTTCATGACATTTCACGAGAGTGTGAGGGGTTTGTCTATTTGGAGCTGAGCTTCCTAGGACATGGTGAAATTTGAGGCGCAAAAAGCCGTAACCAAATATTTTCACTAAACCAATCTTTATTCTGACCATATTCTAGTAAGTTGTAAGATAATCTCCTCCTGGTGGGATCAATACACAAGTGGCGTTAGGTAAATGACCTGATTATTACCCACGAACCCTCCTTCAACATCAGTTTCCTGCCAGATTGATGAATACTTCCACAGATCCCAGTTAGAGGGAATCCTATTGGTCTCGCTGTTGCGTGTGGCGTATATTCCGACCAAAATTCCTTGAAATGCAACAGAAATATAGCTTCAAGTCGGGCATCGAGGACCTGCAAGTTCACCCAAATATGCGCCACTCACAATGAGAGCCAGGAGTTTTGTTGATACTTCAGGTATCTGGACCTTGCATTCACACAAGTAATGAGCAAGGGCGGGTTGAATTGGATAAGAGACGAGATGAGCATTGACCAACCCAGCCGACAATCGAGGCCCATCCATTCGCTAATGGTCAAGCATTGTAATCTAGTATTGTAAACAACCGTTCTCTCAAATCTAATCAAATTTGTAATAACTTAAAACGGAAGCTTCGTTCCAAATTCACACAAACCTCTGTTAAACCGCCCAATTAGCATTAGGGAGTCGACATAGACGGATCAAATTTAGAAATCGACGTACGATGAGGGCTAAATAAGGTGGATAACACGCGAGACCCTTGTTCTGAATCCTCCGGCGAACGGGCTGGCGCACGGTATGGCCGAAACCTCCATGCCAAATGCAGACTCGCCCAATGCAGACTTTCCAATTGCTGGACAGCTCGTCCTGCTAGTCTGCCGAATTCTTGTTTAGGGGAGACGCTGCTTTCAGCATAAGCAGCTAAGCTAGGCTCGCCGCTCGCCTAGCTTCTCCTTTATTTTATCTAGAAAAGCTTCACGAAGTGCTATGTGTCTCGCAGAATGCCGGTAAATGGCTGCCTAGCAGAATTTTTCCTGGTGTCTCAACCTCTCCCCGCACCCTATTAATTTACGCTGAGACAGGGTCCTGGCAGCATCATCTTACTGCAGCACGCGACCACATCAAGAGGCTCTCCAAGGAACTGCTCCGTTTTTCAAGCACGCCACCGAGCCTATCGTCCTAGTTCGCGCCCGATGTTTATTTCTGGCTCAAACCGGGGCCGTTTGACTTTGATATCGATGAATGCGTTTAGCTGGACGGGCGACGCAAAACTGGGTTGGCTCGTCTGCTTCCAAGTGTGGTTCCATGGGTGGGCACATGTCGGATTTCTCTTTTGGTCCCCCAGAGCCAATAAGATCAAAGGGATTATTTATATTTGGTGTATTCGTAAGACGATCTGTGTAGATCTCACTCCCGGTCGTGGGCGCTATTCCAAACCAGCGATCCTCCGGCCTGCCGTGAGCCGGAAATATGGCACGCACGGCAATCACGGCATCACGCAATTCATCCTCCAGATGAGTTCAACTTGAGAGTCAAAGCACAATGATAGCAGTGAAGGGAATGTGAAGAAATATAAAGGTATGTGATCGACATGAGGAAGAAGGTTCAATTAAGCATTATTCTTACTAGTTACAGCCGTCCGTTTCCTTTTCCTTTTCTCTTGTCCAGCGAGATCAGCGCCTGAAATTAGTTGTCTAATTTTCTAAACACTATCTTACACGGTCCATCCCTGACGTTGTCGGATATGGCAGAGAAGTCTGCAAGGCATTCGGCGAGTGACTCGGCCGAGGCCACTTATGAAACCGACGGAGCAAGACCCTCAGTAGAAGGAGCCAAGGATGATGTTGGAAACTTGACATTCGACCAATACACCGAGGGTGGTCTCGGTCGCCATCTTGGTATTTTCAGTACATCCTCTTTAATGTATGATTGCTACAGAACCTGGGGTTTTAAGTAATGCAGCTAATCATGGAGGGCCTGCAGTATCGGACGTATTATTGGTACAGGTATCTTTTCGACACCCTCATCAATTGTGCAGGGGGTTGGCAGCGTGGGAGCTGCGTTGATGCTATGGGTGTTGGGTCTTTTACTAGCTATGGCAGGACTCTGCGTCTGGCTAGAATTCGCCTGCATGATTCCTCGAAGTGGTGGTGAAAAGGTCTATCTTGAAGCTGCGTACAAGAAGCCGCACATGCTCATCACCACGGTATTTGCGGTCCAAGCTATTGCTCTTGGATTTACAGGTAAGCACATTCATGGCCCTCGATTCGTATAAAGGGTGATCCGAGTATTGACTTGAACGATTGATAGCCTCCGGATGTATTGTGTTCGCATCCAACGTCATGAATGCAGCCGGCCACACTGCAACTGAATGGCAGCAACGCGGTATTGCAATCGCTGTCATTACCTTCATTACCATTATCCACACTTTCTTCCCAAAGATCGGTGTTCATGGCATGAACTTCTTCACAGTGCTCAAGATTGCTCTGCTCTTGTTCATCGTCGTCACAGGATGGGTCGTGCTTGGCGGTGGTGTCGCGGCCGTCCCTGACCCTCATGCCAGCTTTCGCAACGCATTCGAGGGCTCCGCAACCTCTGGAAATCCGTATGCCACGGCACTGTTCAAGGTCTTGAACTCTTTTGCCGGGTAAGTGATCGATGGATGGTTTATAAGATCAAGGCTGGGGCAGTCGCTAATTTCGGATAGATGGTCCAACGCCATGTACGTCCTGAACGAGGTCAAGAACCCGGTGCGGACCATCAAGATTGCCGGACCTGTCGGCCTCACAACTTGTGGCGTTTTATATCTCATGGCAAACGTCGCGTACTTTGCAGCAGCTACTCCCAGCGAAATCGCCCACAGTGGCACGACTGTTGCTGCATACTTTATGGACAAGGTCTTTGGGAAATCAGCCAAGACCGCAATGAGGTTTGTGGATCTTCATCTTCATCCATCTTACCTTGGACGTAAAGAAGGAAGCTAACCTGAACAGCGTACTCGTTGCACTCTCTGCCTTCGGAAATGTACTGACAGTCACATTTTCCCAATCCCGAGTCAATGCGGAGTTGGCAAAGGAAGGAGTCATTCCATTTGCTCGGTTCTGGGCGTCATCCTGGCCATTCGGCTCTCCTTCATCTGGCCTTCTCCTCCACTATATCCCGTCCTTCATCGTCATCGTAGCCATTCCTTTTGGAAACGCGTACAACTTCATTCTCGACTTGGAGGGCTACCCAGGTGCAGTCATCAACTTCCTCGTTGTCCTGGGTCTCTTCTACCTGCGCTGGAAGGAGCCGAACACGAACAGGCCATTCAAGGTGTGGCTGCCAGTTGCCGCATTCTACATGGCCGGCCAGGCTTTCCAGCTCATCGCCCCTTTCCTGCGTCCACCAAACGGCGTGGGAGACACGCCCCCACTTCCTTACTGGCTGTACTGTGTGGTTGGCATCGCTGTCCTTCTCGCCTCCGTGGTGTTCTGGTTTGTCTGGTGGGTGGCCGCACCCAAGATTGGGAAGTACACGATGGAGCCCCGAAACGAACCGCTGTCGGATGGTACAAACGTTGTTGTTTATCGCCGAGTCCCGAAGACATTTAGAGACGAATAGGTGCGGTTGGGCCGGTAGTTCATATAGCTCGTTAATGAAAGAGTGACTCCATTCTCGCAGAATGATCAAGTGTCACTTCGCTTGTATATCAAGGGAAATCATGAATTTCTGTTGCATCTCAAATCTTGATTTAGGGTCTTGAACCCCTTCCGGTGGCTCCGCGAGCCTGATGTAGATGTGTATTAATCCATACATAGTTTCTTTTCCTTTTTTTATTACATAATTCATGCATTTTGCCAACATCGAGAATTGATTGGTTTACGAAGCCGAATTTGATACGTAAAGACACAAGTCTTTTGAAAAGGCTTCTTAGTATCACCACGGACTGAATTCAATGACAAGTCCTCATTATCTTCGTGTCTAGGGTAGGGGCACTTCCTGTGTCTTCAAAAAATACATGTAGTTAATCAGCTTGTCGCGGCTTCGCGGTGCTTAGAATTTATGGTAGGTAGGGTATCATTAAGATATCTTGTTAGAATAGCCTGAGGTGATAGGCCACAATTCTTTTCTTGATTGGTATACATATGATTGATAACGGCAAAGAACGACTGGTCTACTAGGAAAGGTATTCACGGGTGAACAAGTGATGAAGTGTTGTTGGTTGTCGTCACCCACAGCTTCCAGGTCGTATAGCGCGCTCGAACGGCCGTGCCGTGAGCCTGATCCTCAAACACCAGCTCAGCAAGTGACGATGTTGATTTACAAGCTTCTGGCACCCGCGCGCCATATTTGGCTTGGGCACTGGGATAGGAAACCCCAACCGGGGAATGTATGAAGCAATATGGGTATCAGTTACAATAGAAAATTCGCCTTGATCCTACACGTCCCTTCTCAGAATCCGAGGACCTCTGAGATGCTCCCTATTTTCTCTCCTTCCCTCGAGGACCCACCGAAGACAAAGGGCGCGAGTATATCCATGCCGGGGTCCTGAACGTCGAGGCGTGCAATCGCGGTTTCGGGTGACGGTGTTTCCAGGATGGGAGGCGCGGTATTATGATCGCATTGCGCCGCGGGATTGCGTGCCAAGTACGCTGACAGCAGGGCGCCGTTCAAGTCGGGCACGCTGCCATAAGACGATAGCGTAGGCCGACTGATTTTTCGGTAGTGTCTTCGAGCGGTCGGTGCTCCCGTCTTCAGGCGCGGGTTCGGTGCCTGGGCTGAAGATATTCTCTTGCTCGCCGATCTGAATAGCTTTGGGAGACCGAATGCAGAACGGCGAATCGAAGTTTGCCGAGCGGGCGCCGCTGGGGGGGCTATCGGCTTGTGCTTCGCATGCTCGAAGAGATCGATGCCGTGGGAGACGGCGACGTTGCTTTCGACGGTGTTGTTCAGGTCCTGCAGCAGCTCGTAGACTTGATCGTCGTCGAGGTCATCAACCAGCTCGAGGAGCTGGTCCTCGAAGGAGGTGGAATGCCGACGTGATAGGCGGTGACTCATGCTGACGGGCTGTTGCGCCAGCCATCCGCAAGATACAGGCGAGAGGCGTCGAGACGAGAAGAGCTGGACGAGTCAAAACGCTCGCTAATGAAGTGGGAATCGATAGTGAAGGTGGTGGATCACCTGACTGTCGCCCCTTACCCCTGGCTAAGCCTTACTGGGTAGCTACCTAACCCAGGGGGGCGAGGGATCAGCAATGGTTTGACGTCGCAATTTAAGCAGGACCAGGAATAATTAAAGAAAGACCCCAATTTCTTGGTTGTTCAGTGCTGCTTGTGCCTTCGGATGACAGGCGAGTGAAGATTGGGGATGGTGATGGACAATGTCCAACAATTGCCACCTTTCATACTATCAATCACTCTATCATAACATCATAACATTTGCTCTCATCCCACAATTCGCCAAACATTGCTCCAGGGATCCATATTTCTCCAATAATCCTCCAATTTGCATTGGCACGCCTCAGCACGACCGGTGTGTGTACCCCTCGGAGCAAAAATATCTTATCCTGAGGATGTATTGAGCCGGTGGCAAATCCGATATACCCTTCCGAGGTAGATATTGCTCGATATCCGTGGAAATGAACATATTCCCTTACTATTTTCAAGCATTCTGTTTGACTGCTCTCGAACACGAACCGCAGCGTGAGCTCTAGAACCCGTGGCCAGACATAAAGGGCTGCGAGAGGTCCTGACAAAAGCCCGGGCTTCTCGGCCAAGAGAGAAAACTTTTTGCGAAGGAGCTCATCCAGATCTTTCACCATTCTTAGTTTATCATCCAGGTCAGCGTCGTTCTCCTCATTGGTGTCCCTCATCAGCATAGAGCGGTAAAAAGCCTCTGTAGTTGTCATGCTGGTATTCACGTATGGACGTTCAATGTCCGCTCCGGCAATTGACCTTGAATGGAAATAGGTCAGGACCGATTTATATATGAAGCAGAGCTGCTTGGCCCCAAATGGTTCATCTTCTGGTGGAATTGCTGGACCCGCTCTGGTAACGGTCCCAAACGAGTATCCTGCCAGCTGCAATACCCTATCATGCTCGAGGAACGCAAGTTTGGACGTTGAGTCCATCGTCGCTCGCAGGTCTTCCTTTTCCCGGATCTCCCAACCTGCATAACGCTTATCGTGCTCGGAGTAAGGGTACCACGACCAGCTGGGGATTTTATTTGACAAATTCTTGTTGCCCAAGAGAATAATATTTGCGTCCTGTGTGTTTTCCAGCGCGATCTTTGTCACTTTGTGAAAGAATATCAGAGGGTTTGCCGAATAGTCCGGCTCAATCTCCTTTAAGAAAACAGAGTCTGGGTCTAAAAGTCCCAAGATCCCATAAATATAATCCCTCTCATCTGTTGCTCGGGCACCCATGGCATCTGATACGAGACTGCCAAATGACTGGTGGTCAGCCTCTTGAAATGCCTGTCTATGAGAAATGATATTTGTGAAATTCATTCCCCATGCCCCGTCTGAAATTGAATGGGCTCGGAAGATTGTTTCCCAGTTGGTAGCGTATTTCCCACACATGACAGTAATCTCCTGTGAGACTGCTGCTTCTTGTATGACCCAGACTCGATGCATCCAATCCTTTTTCTGAAGACTGATTAAATCGTTTTCGCCTTGGACATCATTAATAAATCCGACCATGGAGACCAAGGGCCGAACCCATCGCGGGATATCGAGATGGTCTTGATTCTTTATTCTTCTCCATTTCTCTGGAGGTATTCGTGCCTCATCATCCTCCATGTAGCATCTTTCCAAAGTTTCAAACATTCGGAAAATCCCCTTTGTTCGTCGATCGTGATCTCCCAGCCATATTACCGTACGGCTCCCTTTCTGGAAGATGTGACGCATCAATGGTATTTGCACGCTCTTCTCTGCAGTGTTGCTTTGATCAATGCAAAGCACGTCACACCAAAGAACCCGAGCAGAATCCGTATAGCGTAGTCGTTTCAACGCCGTATAGAGGTTGCGCCCGATGAAAAATGTCAAGCCATCTAACAAGATAACTTGCTGGTTTTTCTGGGAGCCCCAACAGTATGAGATGGGTTCATACTGAGGATAAGCGGAGCCCTCTAACCGGACCGCGAAGAGCTCACCGCTGAGTTTCCCGGTACCAGGATGCAGCTTGAGGAGCCGGATCTGGGACCGAGCGTCATCCAGCCGCTGGTGTTTGTAAGTATGCATTTCCCGTCACTTAGGAGAGTTGAATAGAGACATGTGGATGGTGTGGGAAGGGCTACTCGTCAACTTGATTAGAGATGTTAGGGGGGAGAATTGAGGCACAGCATAGCCACGCGCAGCAAGAATAAGCAGCAAGTCGCCAGTCTGCCTTTTATTACTAACCCCCAAATCTCGCATGCAGCACCCCATAATTTCTTCCATCCAAAGTACTTTTGTAGCTTAGATTCAATGTTGGTAGTGATTGGAAGTTGAATCGCTGGAGGTTTCTGCTAACTCCAGTTACAATTCGTTTACTCCAAATCTTACTCATCGCCAGGATGACACTATCTACTTCTGGATTCCAGGTTCTAGGGCAAAATGTGGAAGAGGAGACATAATCATTCCAAAGCTAAGTAACTGGCGTTTTTACAGTCATATATCTGCGGTGATGTTGAGGCATGATTTATACCTATTTCTCTTTCCATGAAGCCTCCATGACCTCTCGCGTTGATGTGATTGGGATATCTGGAAATTTTTGGTTCAGTGTATCATCGCTAGGCACAACGAATTGGCCTAGCCCGGCCTGGTAATGGAGCATGGCGAAGAACGCCTCGTCGTCGGGAAAGCCAATTGGGGGGAATCTAGATGCGAACGAGATCTTTCCGCCCTTGAGGGCATCCAGATCATCGTAGGCAACTTCGAACTTGCAGCCTGGGTTTCCCAGTTAGACTTCGTACACAATCCTGGCAGGACGTCGCAATGTTATCTGGAATAACATACCTCGAACTTCCTCTGCCAACTGGAGGAGATCCTTAAACGAGAGCGTCTCGCCGACAATCAATGTTACTTTTGTCCATTTCTCCAAGTCCATCATGCGGGCTAGGAATTTCGCCATGTCCTGTGTAGTGATAAAACTGGCCTTCGCAGAGCCATCGCCAGGAATGACTGCCCACTTTTGCTCCACGTTTAACACGTTGATCCATGGATGGAGCGTTGTTTTCCAATGTGGCATCCCGTAATAATCAAGAAACCAGCCGTTGGCAATCCGAGTGTACTCGAGGCTAGTTTTCTCAAGCTCCTCGACAGCCTCGAATGTGTATTTCGCCAAAGGGTTGAGCCCAATATGTCTTGAATTTTGACGCCAGGTCAGTAATCATTCGGAAGAAGATAGGGGAAGAGGACAATCGGAGAATGAATTTGCAATGAGGCTTTCTTACTCTTTCTTGTGAAGCAGATCATAGCTGGCGATGATAAATCTCTTGGTGTACTCTGAGCTGGCGGCCGCCTGTATGAGCCTAAGTTGGGAAGCATTTGCTTCTTCGGTGACAACTCCGATAGCGCAAACTAGAGTGTTGATCTGGGCTTCATCGAGCGCTTTTTTTACTGAGGCGACGCTGGAGTAATCAACAGTTAAATACTTGACTCCTGTGCTAGGTTCGCGGCTCTATGGAGCCAATAGATCAGTGTCAGTGAAAAATAATGTCATGAGCAGGAAAGGAGACTGTCATTGCCATACACTTCGTGAGAAAACGTAGACCTCATGCCCGCCATGAGCAACCAGACCCTCGACGATGGCTTTGCCCACCTGTCCAGCACCTCCAGCAACAGCAATGCGAACCATATTGAATTTTAAAGACTGGAATAGTTTTTGGATTAATTGGCATAAAATTTGTCCAGCGTGTCATTCCCAAACGTAGTCAACGAGCTCGTTTAAGTACTCTATATATAAGGTTACAAATCATGCCAGAGGAGCAGGGATCTGCACCCCGCACGCGGCGAGCCGAGAAAGGCATCTCCGGACCCATTGCTAGAACCAAGTATTTTATATTGCGGTACTGCCAAATCGAATTATACACTTGGATCAAGACCAGAGTCTCTCAAAATTGATTTCATTCTCTTGCTCGAAATCCCGTGATGAGCTATATATAGCATCACTGACATCGGCACCAGATGTCATGTCAGGTGATTGCGTAAGATCAGGGGCAGGGCTGAAGGCTTAGCCCTGTGGCGTAGCTCGTAAAAGCCACGGATGCAACCCTTCTAGCTTCAGGTGACGATGCAGCCGTCCATCGAGCGACGTATGTAAGTTGATGGCTGGGTGAAGATTGATATAAAGGGGGTTCCAGGAGCGGATCTATTGTTGGGATATTCTCAATTGGTCTCACCCTTGGGATTTTGCCTGCCAGCCCATCATGGAGATGGAAAATGACGTGACGAGAAATTCTGCTCCCTTTGGGCCAGCTGAGATGGAGCAGGTGTCGAAGATTGCAGGCTTCCGGGTGGAAAGATCGAAAGCCTATGTATGGGCCTTGAGAGACTGCAAGTTTCTTGTCTACGACGATACGGACGAAGCGTCTGATCTCAGCGTCAAAGGCAAGGAGAAGGCAATCGGCCATTCGCAACACTCTCACGAGGAGAATTCGTCCGTGGACGGAGACACATGTGCGATTTGCTCATCCTGCCCCGAGTTTCCTCATGACAAGAAGGCACGGAAATTCCGCCTTTTCAAACCAAGAGACGCCTTTCCCGACCTCGAATTCGGATTGAACGAGAACTGCCATCATTTTGTTGCGGTATCCTACTGTTGGCCTGTTCCTGAAATCGACGACGAAGGCCAGATCATCCAAGAAGAGCGGCACTACCAGGTTCGCGACTTGGATGGGAAGATTCGGGAAAATCGTGCCTTGGACGACGTCATTGACCGTGCTGTCGACGTGGCCAATACTTTCGGTCTTCGGATGATATGGATTGACCAGGAATGCTTGCCGCAGCCCACCGAGGGCAGTCCCCAGCAAGACTGGGATGAGCAGCAGATCGGTGTCCAAGCAATGGACATTCTCTACAGCCGCGCCATGGTCACTGCAGCCTTTCACTCCTTGGAGCTGACGAGCCAAGCGCAAGTGGACGCTCTCCGTTTTGCTATCGACCACGATGATGGACAGGGAGGCATGCACTCTTTCACTCATGTGCTTGATTTCCTCGATGACGTCTCGCGTGACCGGTGCTATGAACGTGCCTGGGTCGTCCAAGAGTCATTAAGTGCGAGTAACCGTCTGTTTCTTGTCTTCCGACGGGCGCCTGGGATAAATTACCCTTCTTCCTGCCGCGTTGGCCGTCGAGGTTTCCGCGCTCCTCCCCACTCCCTAGATGAAGGGGTCCGGGAAATGCGATCCGAAGTTCTTTGCATCGGCGTCCAAGATTTCCGAAACATTGTGGAGGAGGCAAGGACGGTGGTCGAGCGCAATTCCTTCCAGGAGTCTCAGACAACCGCCATACGGTTCGGCGACATGATATCCCCTGATGCCGCAATTGTCCAAAAGGTGCAGAGCTTGCACCCGGCAGTAATCCAGGGCAACGGTCTCTCGTTTCACATCAGTCTATTCTACGATAGCGGCATGGCTAGGAGAGACAGAATCGATGCTGCCGGGGCACTTACACTACTAAGAACGCGAGGGTGTCGAGACGTCAAGGACCGCATTGCGATCATGGCCAACATGTGCGGATACGAGACTCGCCTGGATACAAACGCCGTGGAAGAGCATTGCAAGTCCCTCCGCGTCGCTCTGCTCACCCTCTCTATTCTCAACGGAGATTTCTCCCTCTTGGTGCCTGAAGTCTACGCCCCTTGGGGAGATGTAACGTATGTTCCTCAGGATGAAGAATCCCGAGAGAGCCCGAAATGGCTTGCTCCGTTTGACACGCGGACTTCCGAGGCGGATTATACGAAAATTCAACGAATTGTTGGAACACGGTTCAAACCATACACAAAGCCATCCGCCGTCTTTGACTTCCCCGCCTACCTCTGGGTCGTGGAGGATTTAATTGACCTCACCCCAGTGCAAGAACAGTGGGCAGAGGAGTGGGCAAGGCTCAAGTGCATATCTATGGTGTTTAATGGTCCGGCAAAGGGGGAATCAAGCGATGCTTATCTATCTCGCCGGCAGCAGATCACCGCCCACTTTTCCCGTTCAAATATCATATTCGGGGCCAACCTTGAGATGCTGAAGACAGGCTCCCTGTCCCCAGATTCAGATATTTGGAACGGCATGGATAGCACTGGCGTCGAGGTCATCCCGAGCCTGCTCGCGGAGCGCGTGGAGAATGAACCACTGAAACAGCACTCCATCGGCAGAATCTTCTTCGGTATCTTGCGGTGCTTATGGGATCAAGCTGACTCTGATCCCAACGCCCTTGGCGTCGCTAACAGTATATGGCAGTCGATGCGAGTAGATACTCTTGATGGGCACAACAAGCATCCAAATCTCCCGGATGAGGTTTCTGAAGCCTTGTTCAGTCACGCCGACGTTGTCGCCCATCCTTTCAATACATTGCAATTTGATCGTAGCCCCGATGGTCAATACCATCAGGTGTGGCTGTTTGACCGCATCATGTCGCTGGGATTTCTCTGGGTTGGTCGGTATCAGCGCAGCACCAATCCCAGCACCTTGACACCCGAGCGAGCCGACTCCGAACCCGAAGATGACTCTGAAAGTGCCGATGTGGTCGAGGAACTTCCATCTAGTTCCGGTGACACATCCTTGCTTCCAATTCGTGAAAAGCCAACGAAGGAACCGAAACCCAAGAAGGAGAAGAAAACAATGGACTCCTCAGTCCAGGGTCGACAGCTACGTCGGCAAATGCTGGCCATGATGCTGGAGAACAGTATTCTGTCTCCCATTCTAGCGGGCGAGGAGAAAGAGGGCTATCCGGATATCAACATCAGTTCCATGTCCAGTTTTGCTATCATCGCAGGCGAGCGAGTGTTTGAATTCGCAGAGGAGCAAAAGCGCGTCAGAACTCTCGCGTCCGTCTTTGACGTCGACGGGCCCTGCACGATAGCAACTCTGTACAATTCGGATTGGGAGGTGCTGCCCCATAGAGACTTGAGGAGCATGACTGTATGCTGGGTTGTGGAAAAAGAAGGTGGTGATGACGGCCCGCCGGAGTTGAAAGCAATAGAAGAGGGCGATATCGCTGAACCGATAGAGGATAAGGAGTTGTTGACGCGTCTTAGGGAGCATTACGACGAAGAAGATCGTAAGTATAGGGTCGCCACAAAGGTCAAAGGGATGTGGCAAATGATGGACTTCCCATCTCAGTCATATACATTTGGGTAATTTATTCTTGATGGGTGATTTCCACACTCTGTACGTGTAGGAACTACCTATAATGGTCTGCGGTATTAGCTGTGGTATCAGAGACGGACGAAATAAGCCAAGACTAGGGAAAGAAGAGAGTCAGTGGAGGGAAGATTAAGGTCTAGGCTGCAGCTAAGGGGGGGTAATATGATCTGGACAGTACTCAGTAGTTTAAAAAAGAGACTATCTACTAATATAGAAGATTTAATTAATAACTACCTCCTCTTTGAGAAGCCCGTCCGCTCTCGCCTAGTTAAACGGAGGAGGGGCTGATTAGTAGTTATGTGCAGCGGCATCCTGAGCCAAGAAGGCACATATGTATCTAGCCCCGACCCTGCCCGACATGCTGCCCTGCGGCGTGTTCGTACTGGGATGCAGTATAGCTGAATTCAGTTTGAGTACCGACCAAAGTTCATCCTGATAATATCCCGAACACCAAGGGTCGTTTTTAATACCGTGAGTGTCACTATTACCGGCCAGGCTATATTTGATACTCCAGTGCCCATAGTTCTGTTCTAGCACTCGGCTCGTGATTTGAGCTAAGAAGGAAAACTTTCCAAAAATTGACGATCCGGAGCAAAGCTGTTCAAATGCAAGGGTAACTCGCACGAGTTTGGGCAATTGCATACCGTCGTACGGGGCTTCGTATGCGCTCACATTAGTTTGGGCTGAGATGGCTAGAAAAGAAACAGGAATTGAATGCATTCAGATGTTTCTGGGCAGGTGTCTGTGCTGGAGTGAGCGTACAAAGTCTCTTGCATCTGCCGTATGAATCAAGAACTCCGGGTAGTTTGCCTCGTGTCTCCGAGCCCCCATTTAAATTCTCATCCACCTGAGGTTAGAGATGTACTACTACCTTGTAGCACCCTTTCCTTCTTGAATATACGCTTGGATATCATCTGCGATTTCATTGATCTTCCATGTCTCATAATATTTCAGTCAATCATGTGAGAAAACCAAGCAAATCAAAACTCTAAGTACATCAACAGACAATCTCAGGTCCATCTTCCCCATTGAACCTCCTAGCTAATTAACTACCTAGGAAGCCTATTGTTCTGGTTTTAGGTCATACTTCTTCAGAAGTAGATGGTCTTGGCCGTCTTTTACCCCAGCTGGAAGATTGCTCCTAATCAGCAGCGCATGTGCTTCGCTCCTCGGAGTGAGCCGATAAGGATATTCTTTCGGATGGGCAACAATTCCAGGTTGAACCTCCAGTATTGGGTCAATTTCAACCCCCTGGCTGTCAACGGCTTTGTTGATGTTGAAAACGGCGATTGTTTGGGCTATCGTTAGAAAGAGACTTCGGTCGGCGAAGATGCGAGCAGGACAAATCCTACGTCCTAGCCCGAACACATATTCCTTGGGATCAAGCTCATTGTATGGAGCCATATATCGCTCTGGTAGGAAGGCTTCCGGGTCGTGGTAAACACGTGTGTCCCGCGTATAGGAGAAGGTGTTTGCGATCACAGCAGCTCCCTTGGGTATGAAATAGCCCTGGAAGACTTGATCTTCATCACTTGAATGTGCAAGGCCTTGCGGTACGACATTCTGCCATCGGTACGTTTCCTTTATGATGCCATCAATGTATGGCAATTGATCTTGGTCCGCGAAAGTGGGTAGCCGATTTGGCCCTATCACCCTGTCGATTTCTTCGTGGGCTTTGGCAAGAACACCGTGGTACTTTACCAGAGCTAGATATAGAAAACACAAGGCTGAGTATGTTGTGTCGGCTCCACCCGCAAATAGTGTCACTGCTGTATACTTGATAGTATTCTCATATTCAGGGTTAAGTTTCTCCTCCTCAGTCTTTGATAGAAGATTGGACACGTAAGATGGCTGGCATGATTTGTCTCCAAGTTGACGCTTTACGAATTGAAATGGAATATCGACCGCTTCTAGGATCTCTCGGTTCCATCGGATTGCTGTTTGCTTGAAGCCCGCGCCCGGACACCAGGCTGGAATATGTCTGAGAATAGGGAAAGTATCCACAAGCCAACCTCCTGGCATGACGGCTGCTCCGAGTCGATCCAACATACGACGAACAAGAAACAACAGCGGGTCATCAAAACTGGTATTAATATCGTATCCATAGGTGAGTTTTAAGATGATGGCAGCGGATTGACTGTTATCAAACGTTAATCTTTACTCTCCACTCCTTTCATATACTGTAGATCAATGAATGAAAAGGGATAAAGAGAGGAACATTAAGGCATACATTTCTATATTTTTGAACAGATTCTCAGGGAATTCCAGCATCCGGACCAGAGTTCGGCCGACTTCTCTCTCTAGAAGCGATTGCGTCGATGCGACAGCTTGGTTTGTTCCGATGTGCTGGAGGATCAACTTTCGATGAAGACGGAGGCTATCTCCGTATTGTTGTCCGATGGTAAATTGACCAAAACCACACCTGTTCCAAGAAGTCAGTATATCAAGAGCCACGGTCGTGAACGTAACGAGATTCCATCGCCAGATCGGGTGACGGGCAAGATAGATCGTCATTACTCACATGCGCCACCCAAATTCTAGCCATGGCCGTGAGGAGTTCTTGGCCCCTCCTTTATCGAGTAATTCAACTGCCAGGCTTCTGTCGTGTAAAACGACGATGGTCTGCCCTATGGCTGTTATTGATGTAATGGGGCCGTATTTCTCATGGTGCGACTCCCAATGCCTCGATTCTGGAAGTCCCTTTGGGGGGAGATCCAGCACGTTTCCAACAATTGGGAGTGGCTTTGGGCCAGGAGGAAGACTTATGCGAGGTTTACGTCGCCATTTTTCATAGGCAAGACACAACCCACTAATGACTATGACAGATTGCGCCAGAAGGATTATATTCAACATAATTAAATATCAGCAAGTTGTTAGAACTGCGGCTCTATCAAATCCACAAAGCTGAGGAGTTTCCCACCAGTCTTTATAGTTTTCCTCGTATCATCCAGTGTAGTAAGTTTCACGTATCATAATAATGGCATGCCCGTGAACGGAACCTTTTCCGCAGGACATTCGCAGATGGACGACGATGTCTTTCCCATATTGGGCATGACACTACGACTAGGTGGCCTGAACCCCGTTTGTCGATCGGGTTTCTTTTGGCATAAAGTGCATCAATAGGTGGGTGCCGCGGCACTAAGTTACATTTCATTGGCTCGGGTGCTGGGTATACCGATAGCTGAGGGGAGCAAATGCAAGTAACCCTCCATGGCCGAGATTAAGATGTAGAGTACTTGCATACGCGAGGTCGGAAACATGCATAGCTTGTACATGTGGTCCAATAAGCGGCTAGCGACAGATATCGATCTCATTCCAAGCTACACCCCACGTAATTCACATGATGGTCGGTTCAGCTGTATGCAGGTAATCAATTTAAGAATGATCTGCTGGGCCCCAACATGTTTTGGGACAGCACTTTCGTGGCGGCCGAGTTCAGAACAGCTTGAACTTGCTTAAGAGATCCCTTGCTCCTTTGCTTTACGTACTGTTCTTGGATGAATTGCGAGGCTACGGTAGTGGCTGTAATCTGCCCATGTTGCGAGGGACTGGTGATTTTGGATAGACATGATATGAACAACACGGGCCAATCACGCAACCACATGCTCCTCAACGAATCGACATATGACCTCTCTCAATATACGTAATTGTGCATGGCATAGCAAGCTTGTGACCTCTACTCAGATATGCAACTCTATCTTACAAATCAATATTGCGACCTCTATCAGATGCATTGCATATCAAGCTCTCAGCTAACGCTTGGCGTCCACTACGTGTCCGTGCTGCTATGGTTCGCCTCACACGAGGGCTTGAGACCGATGATCCTGCTACCTTGATGTTTCTCGTATCCTCCCACTCCTTGGCCATCGACGTAGCTAGATCATGCGGTGTTCGTCATTCTGTAAATTGGCCCACATCTTCTACGGAAAGCAATCGAACCTTTGAGCCCCAGAAAGATTTACCCCTAGACCACGGGACTACCCGAGGGGCATGTAGCATATCTGAGGAGGTGAGATTTGCTCGATCCCCCCACCCGAGGACATGGGGTAAGGTTACACTTTTGCAACCGCCAAGCTTATGTAGTCAACACTCTGCTGCCTTACGTGTTGTGTCCTAACTACAAAACTCTAATATTTGGAGTTACACGGCTGGAAACGCGAATGGTAAGATAGCCCGATGGTGGTCTACGTCACCAAAGCGAGTGATGCGCAACGACTGCTCGAAGAGAAGTATTTCTATCTTTGCTGGAGAGTTGGCCAGCACTAACGCCTTTAAGCAGCTTCAGGGCTTGGCTTAGTGCTACAACTGCTGCGAGATGAGTTATGCAGCTTTCGCATGCAGTAAGGTGTAATGATGCAGTAAGTGCGTGGGGATAGGTCATCAATACCAATACTACTCGGCGGCCGACCCAAAGTGCATCCTCTGTGGAGGGCTGCATAATTTGCTCAGCCCAAACTATCGAGTGCGGTAATCGCTAATAGCTACTAACCTCTAGATCCTACAGCTCAACGTGCAGAAGAGAGACGTAGTGCAGCTGAGCATAATGAACGATAGGGACTTGCGAGATTATGCAGTGCTTGGCGGTAGCCGAGCCATACACGCTACACATCAACGGAACGTTAATCTCTCTGGCCAGCCTTCGTCGCATGCCCGCCATTGTGGAGACCGCTGATCGTGCTTTCTTGGGGACTGAGATGAGGATCCAGAGCAAAGTGCGACTACAAAACACCAAATACGCCCTGAGTGCCTCAGGAGTCAAGTCGTAAACTCAAGTAGTTGTGTAGTATGTAGTCAATGGTAAAGTGAATGACTTAGTCGGGCGCGAGGGTAATGTCCTGGGGAAGCGCAGAGGCCCGACTACCACCATGCCTAAGGGCCTATCAGGCACTGTCATGTTGAGAGAGAGATGTTGGATTCGCCGTCACTGATAAGCTGAGAAGCATCATGGATGATTTTTGAACACTTACTCCCCACCATAACTGTTCATCCACAATGGGAGGCATTCTGACCTGCCGGCAACTGCAGGTGACAGCCTATCAGGATTCAAGATTTGGCGCCGGGGTTCAGAAATCCACCGAAACCAACAAACACAGTCGGACCTAAGGCACAGGATAGGCCTGACCAGTGGAGAACTTACACCTCCTTCGGCGACGATGGCGTCACAGGAAGCGCTCACCCCCACGGAAACCTGATGCAAATAAGCCGGTACTTTGGGGAAGACTCTAAAGAGCCTTCGGGCTTTTTCTGCGCCGAGTGTTATGAGGATGCTCCCGCTAACCCCTATGACGCACCGGAGAGGCTTAGAGCCATGAGCTCGGTAGCCGAGCGGGCTGATACAGGGTCCTTCCTCAAATTCCAAGTCGGCGATGTTCAAGAAGGTCCTGTCAAGATGCCAAAGGTGACGTTCGTCAGTCATCGTTGGCCAACCTTCGAGCATCGGACCTTCAATTTCCCTCTAAGCATCCAGTATGTGGTTATATAAATTATATGACACAAGCCACTATGAATCTTTTCAAGTTTCTTGCTTACAGTGTACTTGGAGATTGCGCTCGTTTTCCTCTCCGCAGTGTCTCTGCCTTCTTATACAGGAACAACAAAACAACAACAGCACATGTTCTTAAATCAGAGCTTTTTAAATCACTAGAAATTTTCTCCTGACTTCAATAAACCTCACTTCCTCATGGGGTTTAGAGGTGGGGCGGCAGTTGCTTGACGCTTAAGATTGTGACGGAGGATGATGGATTTTCTGAGGCTGTGCGTTATGTTCCAGGATCCGGTCCCCACAAGATAAAACATGCTGCCCATACACTAAAACCCCTGCATCATCGGACACGCAAGGTGATGACGTCCGCTGTCGGTGGTCGGGCTCGATAAACGCCGTTGATCGCCAGCTCTACACCACATTTGGCTTCACGTCGTCAACCACTGGGTGGCTTTCCCAGAGCTGCAGGCTGTTTGTTCAATTGAAAGGATCCAGTGTCCATCCGGCTCATGTTATGGCATAGTGAACAACAGCACAACGTAGAGAGTTGGAGTGAATATTTGTAGTGCTCATTAAAGGAGTATTTTTTCCAGTGTGCTCACAATATACGTAACAGCATACCATATATGCTCAGCAGCGGTCGAAATAAAGTGTGATGCTTTCTCCTTGGCGGCCTCCAAGTCGAGTGGATTGCTGCGCATATTCTAAACAAATTTTGATCATTACATCTATCCTATCTCCATAACCACGCATAAAATGACGTATCCCCTCTACTTGGAAATGAATTCCCTTTAAGGTCATGCGAGTTTCGTAGCCCATGCTGGAATAAGAAGTCTCATAATCCCTGGCACGAGGCAAATTCTGGGACATACCCCCTCAACTCTGGCTTATATAGTACGTTCGAGGATGATTTCCAATGCAACTTCCCTGTGAAGAACTCCTTTATCTCGTCAATCTAGTTTAATGAGCTTTTTGGCCTTGTACTTTTACCGCATGGGGATAAAGACTAGTATTCAGGTGATCCCCAGAAGTTGTAGACACACCATCCCCATAAAAACCAGAATGAGACCCGCCTTTACAGGAGGGAGAACCTTGTTAAGCGTTCGGGACGCGTGGCTTTTATCAATCGGTAGTTTTCTAAGTATTTATCTGATAATACGATAGACATTCCTTTATCTACCTGCACCAGTATTGATAAGGGGTGTGTGGTTCCACCGTTGCTAAGCCATCTCATGACGACGAACTCTTCGACGCTATCATGGCCTCATCCACATCCACACCATACCGTTGCCAAGCGCACGGCATTTCAGACATGAGACGAGTCACTAAGCTTTTCTGGGATTGTATTCCCTGCCACAATGTAAACGCACCCCGCTTTGTTCTAACTCAAACTGGTGATTGTAGGGAAGCCTTGAAGTGTATGCCGTGGCTTGGCTCTTTCTGCACGTCCTGGACGTTGTTAAGCGGGCCTTGTATCTCGGAGCTTCTGCTAGACGTAGTCCCGACTCCCGACCATGACATGCCCACTTTCCAGCTGCCAAAACTACATTACAAACTACTTTTCCCTCAGCGACCGCTCAGCTCAGCAATTCTGTCCTCCATTAGAACTGACTTGCTCTGCCTACGCGAATAATAGATATGAGGCGTCCATTAGTTTTCGTGCTTGTCATCCAGGCTTTCCAGGGGCTGGGTCTTACCGCTGATTTTGACCTCCTAAGCTCGCAGCACCTCTATGATTGGGGCTTCTACGGCTTCTACCCTCAACAAACCTACAAGAGCTTCGACCTAACGGCGCCATTACTCAACTTCCTTCAATGGGATGAGAAATGCAACGATGGCTACTATATGATTACACCTAAAGGTCGTCTCGTCGACTCCCCTGGGCCCGTAATTTTCGACTACAAGGGGAACCTTGTCTGGACAACTGATGAGTTCGGACAGGTTGCAGATCTCCAGGTTCAAACATACAACAACACACAGTATCTCACGTTTTGGAAGAGCATAGAAGGAATCTATGCTGGTTTTGGGCGGGGAGAATATCTGATGCTGGACGAGAACTACCAGGTCTTTCGGACCTTTAGACCCGTAGGAGACGACCTCATGGGAGACCTGCACGAGTTCAAAGTCACTAACGAAGGGACTGTGCTAATGACGGTTTATGCTCCTAAAAAGGCAGATCTCAGTTCTATCGGGGGACCAGAGGAGGGCTGGATAATCGACAGCATGTTCCAGGAGGTTGATATCGAAACTGGGGACTTACTTTTCCACTGGCATGCCTCTGAACACGTCGAGATAGATGAGACGATCCGATACTTTGCTGGTGCAGATGATGGAGAGAGTCCTCACTCCGGATTTGATTTCTTCCACATCAATAGTCTTGACAAGGATGAGAAGGGGAACTACCTCGTCTCGGGACGCCACACGAAGACTATCCACCTCATTAGCCGCGAAGATGGCAACATCATCTGGACTCTCGGCGGCAAGAAGAACATGTTCGAAGACTTATCAGATGGTCTTGCCACTGACTTTCACTATCAACATCACATCAGAATGCATGAGAACAACACAATCTCTCTGTTCGACAATGCTAGAGCTGAAAGGCGTGGCCCCAAGAGCCCCCATGACTACAGTCGCGGCTTGGTAATCAGGCTCGATGACATCAACCTTACCGCTACGCTTGTACAGCAGTTTTGGGACCCTCAGCATCCAAAACAGCCCGACTCACAGGGATCAGCCCAGCTGCTCGAGGAAACGGGCGGCATGCTCGTCGACTACGGCATGTATCCCGCCTTTACTGAATTCGGTCCGGACGGCGACGTCCTCTGCGACGTCCGCATAGCCCCCTGGGTCCTGTACCGCGTCGGCGCTGTCGTCAGCTACCGTGGCTTCAAGGGTCATTGGGTCGGCAAGCCCACGAGTCACATCAACGTCCATCTCAAACCATCCGACGGCGTGCTGTACGTGAGTTGGAACGGGGACACGGAGGTCAGGCAGTGGGTCCTGCAGGGCGCAGACTGGGAGGACGTATCGACGGAACGATGGATGAACATAGCGGCCAGAACGAAGGACGGGTTTGAGACTGGCTTTGATATAGAGGAGGATATGCCCGAATATGTGCGCGTCGCTGGTGTGGGCGAGGACGGCAGGATTCTCAAATACTCTTCTGTGATCAAGAGGGAGTATGGGAACGCCAGATCTCCAGATCAATTGCTGACGATCCTGAAGACGATCTTGACAGTTGTCAAAGTACACATTCTAATCTTTGTCGCCTTGGTCTTACTACGTTATGCAGGACTTTTCCGAGCGTTCAGGGTACGTTCGGTTAACAAGGCAATCGGTTTATCTCGTCTTTGGAGCTTGATTTCAACGACGTTATGGATGAAGGGGGGTGTGATTCTTTCCCATTCGAGATGGAGAGGGTGGGCATTTGGCAAGCCGGATGAATTACAACCGTTACACTATGACAACGGCAAAGTATCGGTAGTATAGTATAGCATTGTTATTTTAATTCCTTTCCCTTTGTACTTGAATGAAGCCTAAACTCGGAATGTCGTGCTGGCCCTTGGCTGAGTCCAGATGCCGTATTTCAAACTTCTATTATAGTCATTCATCTTGAGAAATCCACAACGTCGGTTGCTTAAGTGAGTCGCTTCCAATTGTAAACAAAGTCTGGCAGAATATTTCGAATCCATCTCCAGTAATTGCTGATTTTGTAATAGGATCGCTAGCTTAACATCGCGCGCAATAGAATGACAGCGCAAAGAGATATATATACAGTAAGGCCATCAGGTCCTGATACCGAAACCTGGCCTCCATTTTCATTTACACTTTCATCAAGGGGAGTGTCCTCTGCAGCGGTGCCGTGTGCCGTCGTATCATTCGTGACAGTGCCGTTCGCAACAATCCCCTCCTCTAGTTTCCCACAGTCTTCTTGTTGCAAGGCGACGAGTCCGCAGACCAACCCATCAGGCGGTTGGCGATATCGCTCGAGTAGCAAGGGTTGGAACGGCCCTTGCCCAGGTTTCCGGACTCAGGCATGACGCCAGAGTTGTAGAGGAGAGCGCCCTTGTAGTACTTGCTGACATCGGTGGCCTTGCTACGGGCGACGGTTTGCTTGAGGCCATCGGAGGTGGTAAGACCGACACCATCAGTGATCATGCCTGTTTAGTTCAAGTTAGTCCATGCTCATCAGAGAATCCAGCGCAGACTTACCCTTGATCTGGGCGTCGGGGCAAGGGGTTCGGAGGCTAACGCCAGCCTTGGGATCATTGCAGGTGTGCTTGCCGTTGAAGCATTGGAGGAGACCAGGGTTGCGGTATCCCTCGTTGGTTGAGTAGGTTGTCTTGACACGGACGCAACCAGAAGACTCCTGGAAGACGGCAGCGAGGATGAATCGTGCATCGAGACCGGAGTCGGTTCCGACTTGCTTGATAGCAGCCTTCATGGCGGTATTCTCGGCGGCGGAATTGGCACCAACTCCAAGATATTTGCAAGCACCGTTCGTGTAAGCGACGTGAGCGTTCCAGCTAGAGAAATCGTGTCAACTTGGTTCCGCTTCAGGGTGATCGAGACGGCTTACATGGTGTCAAAGCTCGCCCACTGGGAGGTGGATGGCCAACCCTGGGCGGTAGTTCCATCACCCTTGTATGTCTTGTAGGCGACAGCACGGGGAGCCAAAGGAGCGTCGACCGAACTCTCAAGAGGAACAGCCTGGACAAGGCCAAGGAGGCTGGCGGCAGCAAGAACGAATGGGGTTGTAGCGACCATGATTGCGGTTGAAATGAACGTGGTTCGGTTGAAATAAAACCGGCAAAGAACAACTAAGCTAGCGAACTAGTGAATGGATGCGAGATCTTGAAGTCGTAGATCACTTGGACTTATATGTGCTCCCTTGTTTTCAATTCGGTAGCCAGGGTCAATCGCCCACGGTCGGATCATAGGGGGTTAAGGATCGACACCCTGCTAGCACGAAACACGATGGAAGAGCCGTAAACTCGGGA